GAAATTGAGAAAACGTTTGCTAGAGCTCTTTAGGAAATTGTCGGTCCTGGAGTCGTGGGGCAACGCCCGCGATGTGAAATCTCTTGCTAGAAGCATGTTCCAGCGACTGATTTCGACAGCTGTTCCCCCCATTACCAGTCTCATCTTAACTGAAAGCATTGTTGTCGATGAGATGGAAGCAATGCTCGCTGAGCGTTCTAAACGCAATGCTGCCGCAGGCACCAGTCGTTTTGCTAAACAACCGAATTCGCGACCAACGTACCAACCACAGTCGCATGATGCCAGTCCACCAGGTCCATCAGATCCGAACGTTGGTACAGACTCTACATCTGCGCCTCCTCCAGCGCCTTCATCTGCCGGGAAGGAACCTGAACCGCAAAAGGATGTACCGAAATCAGCGGAGATAAAACCTGAGCCTGCCACTGATGCCGAAGATGATCTTTATTCTATATTCAAGGCTAAGCGCGATCCAGGAGTGTCTGACGAAGACTGGGAACAACTTGAGCGCGATAAGCAAGCCATGGTTGCGAAAGAAGAGGAGTTTCGTCGCCTGCAAGAGGAGAAGCGTAAAGAGGAGGAACGCATCAGGGAGTTTATTCGCGCGGAAAAAGCTGCTGCTGATGAGAAGGAGCGGCGTGCAAGGGAACAAGCGCGCATCGCAGCTGAGTTGGAGAGAAGACGTCGCGATGAAGAACTGGCAGCAATTGAGAGGAAGCGGCAGCAGGAGAAGGAGAGGCAGAGCAAGCTGCGCATGTTGGGACCATGTCCAGCTGGCTACATGTGGATCAAGCAGGCTAGTGGGTATAGGTGTGCGGGCGGGAGTCATACGCTGTCTGACGATGCTGTTGATGCATACTGTCGCTAAGAGTGAAGTCGAAGATGCATGGTAGGATATTCATGGTTTTGTGCAGCAAGCGAAGGGCAGTGTGCTCCTACCCATTTGGTAGCGAACTCTTATTGTGTATTGTATTCGACGCAATCTTGGGCGCTGCGTTGTAGGCTAACACTTTTCAAACCCACGCTTGGCAACCCTTACACATGACGAGTTCCCACCTTGACCCGTGCTAGGTCTTTCGTTGATTGATGCTTGAGGTAGGGATGCTAAAGCATAAACGTGTAAGTAGATAAGGTTGTGAACTCGAAACTTGAAAAGACGGCTGCAGGGACGTCGAGCAGGCCAAGTCCCAGCAAAACAACGAATCAAAAGAAGTCGCGCGTGTTAATGATACTTGTATGGGAGATGTGCACGAATGATGTGCACGATGTTGGAGAAGCTAGACGTGGACTTGGGCCGCGATGACTTGCTGCGCCACAAAGTGTTGGAAGGGAGAGACTGGGTGTGACGCGTCCAGAGACGTCAGCTAACCGATACTACAGTGACAATCAGATAAACGTGTTGCATGTGAAGGGGCGACTTCGTTGGGGAAATTGTAAGGAGACGGCTAGACAGGCGTGGGTATATTGGCATTCACGTACGAATTACGAGAATGCGGAGTGGCCGCGGGTGAGGGCAGAGTACAGAGTGGCGCAGCAGCTCAGCCACAGGAAGCGTGATTCGCTGATGCTCTGGGCCTTTATGCCGCCACCCTCTTGACGTAACCGCCCAGGAGGCGCCGCAACACCAGTTGCGGCAAGCTGGGCACTCGACTCCCTGCCGCTTGCAATCCATAAAAAGGCCGTCATTCTGTCCTCGTGCCCCAAAATAGATGATACCCCCTCTTTCTTACCTGATCCCTTAGAAATAGCCGCCCTGCAGCTTCTCCATATCCTTCTCTCCCCCAACACCATCCCTCACCGAATTCTCCCAAGAGTACTCCTCTCGCAAGCATGAGCGGCCATGGCGATCCTCGATTGCTCTATACGATTGGAGGCATCAAGGCCTACCACATCCAGCAGGGTGAGGAGACTTCCCTGACTCCCTCTGGGCCACAAACACTGTCACTATTGATGGTGCCCACAAATTCGCCCTTTGCAGACAACAGCGCGCGCGGCCAGAACGAAGAAGACTTTTACCTACATCTTAATCTCCCTCCCGAGCTCGACCTCCCTCTCCCTGCGACGACGCAGATTTACCACCAGCCGCCGCGAAGCTACCTCATACCGCGATGGGATCTGGGTCCAGATAGCCATGCCTTCACGCGCATTGAGTTCCCGCCGATTGGCAAGGGTTCCAATTCCGTTACACAAGAAGACATTGATACCTTCGAGACTATATTGGCACAGTGCACAGCGTTCCTCGAGCGTGCGCAAGCGCCATCGCATGAGAAGGGCAAGGGTGATGTCAAGGCATACAATCCTCAAAACTACAGGCCTGGAGAGGGCTACGCAAGCTCTGGTGGCCAGGGCGAGGTTGTGTTGGTAGATGAGGAAAACGGCAGCATCGTAGGCGAGCTAGCTGAGGGTGCTCAAGTCCATGCTGATCCAGCAATCGAGCAAGGGTCCAAGAGTAAGTCGCTTAGTGTTGTTTGCGGCGCGTTCCTCACTCATACTAACACAGATAAAGATCCCGTCGAGATTGTGGTATCTCCAGATGGCAAGCGTATTGACATCAGGCCCCTCGACGAAGATTACCTTGAAATGGCCCGCCATCCCGCATACAAGGACTCTGGCCTGGTGCAAAACGCCGCCGCAGCGTCGCGACTTGTCGTTACAGGCTCTAGCTACCTTAGCAACCTCATGGTGTCTGGTGCAGAGAACTTTATAAACAAAACAAGGCCAAACGAGAAGCCCATGGTCTTCAAGCCCGCCACCCATGAGCGCGCCCGCAAGATCAACACCTTCACCACTGGTGTTGCTGGCTACTCGGCCAAGACTGTCGGTCAAATCACAAAGTATGCCCAGAACGCAGCAGCAGGCATGGCGGGACATAAGAAGACGCACGCCAAGAGCGTCAACCCTGACGGCACACCAAATTCAAACTACAAGCCCGGTCTACTGAACAAGAGCTTAATCGCCTTTTCAACTGTTGCCGATGGTATTTCGCATTCCGGTAAGCAGATTCTCACTAGCGGTGGTGCTGCTGCCAGTGCTGCTGTTGGACACAAGTATGGCTCAGAGGCGGGACAAATTACCGGTAATCTTGCCGGGGGTGTCAAGAACGTTGGCCTCGTATATATTGACGTAACCGGCGTCAGCAGAAAGGCTATCATCAAGTCTGTTGCCAAGGGTATGGTCGTCGGCAAGGTCAAGGATAAGAAGGGCAACGAACAAACCGTCATGGTAGGAGGCGGTGATGGAGGTGTGGTGGACAACGACATGAAGTCGCAGTATCAGTACGCGACCACCAACACAGTCGCCCCTCCCAACCAGTCCTCTACTCCTACACCTGGTGGGCAAGTTTCCTTCGGTGGACCACCACCGAGCTACCGTACTGGTGTTGGCGAGTCGCTTGAGGGACAGCCAGCATATTACCCGAACGAGAAGAGGTAGATACCCAATAGCCGGTCTATGTACACAGGTTTCACGAGAAATGAGATTACGATACAGGTTATCAGCATGATATACAGGGCGGCATTCGATTGATACGATTATACGTTCAAGTTGGCTTTCTAATATGCTCGGGTATTATTGTAGCAATTTACATGCTTTTAGGGGAAGTGATAATTTCTACTTATGTCAGTAGCATTCATGACTGCCAAATCAACGGTCGCCCATGTATTTGCCTGTGCATGTCAACTGCTGTCTCGATGTGGACCTCCACCTTTGTATTGGTGATATCAAGTTTTGACTTGCAGTTTTTGGAAAGACGTGCAACCGCCACACGAATGTGAATTGACCACTTTAAGAGCTTCTTTTTGGGATGTACATAGATGCTGAATAAATGTACAGGATGGAGAGGGGGATGTAATGGCCTGTCTGCGAGCGAGGCTGCTGACAGGAAGGTGATTGGAAATGAGGAAGATTCCTTATTTATTTCTATTGTATGTGGAGCGAGCGTTGCTTATAATGATCTCAATAGAGAGTGCATGCATTACTTGCAGTCGATTAATGCTAAGTGTAAACCATGGTGAGGAGGGCACGTGTCGCTCATTAGTCGACGACACATTATTGTTATGCGCAAACCTTAGGCTCAAACTTTAGCACACGTCCTGTTCGAAGTGACTTATCAGATAGGACAACAACAACAACACATCGCAATTTTCTACCTGATCGCAGAAGAGATTATTGATCGTGCTATAGTGAGTGATGACACAAGTCTCCTTGACGTGAACCACGTTGGATTGTATCACGTCATCCCAGTCGAAACAGCGAACTTACGGGAATGGCAGCCCTGCGACAAGATCTATTCGCACCCAGTTCTGGTGTCGTGCATATAGCCACTGCCACATGTGACATTTGCTGGAACACGTATGAGTATTTAAAACAACAATTTCCATTTTTAGTCGATAAAAAACGGTGCACAACCATTGTAGTCACTGCACTAACAGTAGTATAGAAAATACTTAGTGCATAAACGCATTTGATACAGGATAAGCTTTTGCAAATACACTGCCAATTTGCTCTATTCGACGTTTGAACCACCCCTTTTGTTCCACCACATGTGACAAATAGCATTAATGACATTCTCAGCACACTTGGACGTCGAACAGGTTGCTTAGCCACGCATTGACTAAGCTAGGAAGCCAAGGTATCGTGACAAGACAGTAGCACTCGTGACAAGGCATACTCGTGACAACGCTTCTGCCTTTTGCGCAACCGCGCGCTGGCGCTATAGAGGCAGACTCGCCCTGCCAGTCAAACCGCTAGGTAACAGCAGCCTCTGTGCCCTCAAAGCACAAGAGTATAGCATCAATGCTACCACTGTGAACTAGTCTTCTCAGTGCAATTTGAGGCAGGTATAGAAAGGAAGCAAGACGGCCGGTGGATTGAGGAATATCACACTACAACAAACTTCACTACAATCATCAATACAGCTTTCAGCAACTCTTCAGTACCGATTCAACAGCAAGAACAAAACCTTTTACCACCGCAATCAACAATCAACTTCCACTACCATCACCATGCAGTGTAAGCTTCCCTCCCTCCTTCTTCCCCCCAATATTCCCCATCTAACATTATGCAGTCACCACTATCCTCGCCGCGACCCTCTTCGCCATCTCCACCTCCGCAGCAACACTCGTCACGCGGGCCCCCATCGAAGCCCGTGCCGTAGGCTTCAGCCACTCGAAGCGCGCCTTTGATCTCACTGCTGAGATCGCCGCCATGGAGAAGCGAGGTCAGTCTGCTGCTTGTACTATCTGCACGTTCGGATGCGGTACTGGTGGAGATCTTGAGCCGTGCGATTGCTGTGCTGAAGGGGGTGCCTGCATTGATGATGGAAGCTGCAACATCTAAACGGATTTTTACAGGTTGGACTTGGGATTCCTTTTGGGGGAGGGGGGAGTTTGGGGATTCGCATAGTTTACCGTGGTGTGGTTGGCCCTCGTTAGGGGAGCATTAGAGGTTTTGCTGGTCTTTGTCTCTGGGGTTTTCTCTTTCAGGACGAACTGTTCAAGGTCAATATGAGTCAAGTTCTTCCATTGAAGAAAAAGTGAACACTTTTGCCTGTGTGTATTTTTGTGATTTGTCTATGTGGATGAATGAGCGTTTTGGTCATGTGATGCTACACTGTGTCTTGGTACTTGCGTAGACGACTACGTATACCAGCGATTCCCCGCCACTGTAGTATTCTTTCACGCCCAATTTAAATGCTAGATATACCACCCTCACGCCCCGATTGTCGGGGGAATTACTCAGTATGTAAATGCACTTGAAATCGTTTCCATCACCCGCCCCGGGGCTGAGGTAAAAGATATAACTCAAACAATGTGTCAACAATACATGACATGGCTGACAGCAGCCGAAATATCTACAAGGGCTCCTGCATACGACAAATCAATCACATCTACTCGACCTGTCATGAAGCGATATATCATCAAAACAATATCGTATCCATTACTCTCTGCCAATGGCGCACTTACAACAAACTCGAAACACAGCACGAGTAACGGCCGGTAGCAGAAAAAGGCCGGTAGCAGTGGAGACCGTCCATACATATGTAGTACAGAGAGCAAGGCGACGATCAAGGGGGCCAGGGTTAATGCCTGTCTGTACCACCTATTCTAACGGTCAAGAGCGCCCTATTATAGCACTTATGCTTATAGCACCTACCCCCATCACGCTTTAACAGTAGAGTTACACAAAAAGAGGGTCGCTCAAAAGAACAAGCTACTACCACACCTTACTACCCCAACGGGGGCATCCTAGCACCTCGAACGGCGGACACAGATATTGACAAAACCGTTCTTAATAAAACGGTCTCATATAACAACAAAAGTACCGTACATCGTATGCTTGCCAACCCGCGACCAGCACTAGCCCCCCGTCCATCTGCATCGTCCGCCCCCCGCAAGCGATGGGGGAAGAACAAGGGCGAGGAGCAGGCCCGAACCGGCGCCTCTTGCCGTCTCGAGGGTCATACCCGACGCAGCACTTACGTATCAATATGCCCACACGCCCACATATACGCGGGCCCCATAACCATGCCCTACTTACTATGACGTTTCCAAGACAAGCATGTCTGGCTTCTTCCAATGAAGAAAGCACTGAACGGGAGAAGGGAAAAGTGGGGGGGGGCACACACCCAGGTCAATCATTCTCTTTCTCTTTCTCTTTCTCTTTTCTCTCTGTCTCTTTTGCTTATTCGCTCTGACCATCACCGGTCTCTTTCCAGCGGGACCCACTTACCGCCCGAATTGCGAAAATGTCAAGTCTTTTTCTTTTTTGGCCAGCTATGTAACTACGACCAAGTCGTGATATGTCGACTGACAGAAACGGACGACGCAAAGCGGGCCACCCTGGGCCCGGGTCCACGCGGAAACTACCCTATTTCTCTTCTTCCAACAAGTGGGAAAACCAACGACGGACCTTTTTGCAAACGTTGGAATGGAAATTGGGTAAAAAGTGAGCCAAATTTAGGGAAAAGTAGTATGTAAAGAGAACGATTTTTTTCTTTCCTTTTCGTATAGGCAAAATAGCTGTTTTTGAAACCCGCTTCTTATCGTTATCTTCTATCTGATCAAATCCCCCATGTCTCGTGTTCTCTCCTGTCCCTATTAACCCTACGCGACCCACGCGCACACACATCCTAGCCTTTTGCCATTTTTGACTGTAAAGTTGGTTTGTGCGAGGGTATGTACAGTAAGCACGTTACTGTGTAGGGAGGGGGGAGCGGGCACACACACACCCCCCAGTTCCCCCCATCACTTCCCCATATACCCATGTTTAACTCTGAGAAGAAAGGGCGCCTTCTTGTCTGATTGATTGATTGATTGATTTAGTTCGAACAAGTACCCTTGCGCGCGGCAGTCGGGAGCCCCGACATCGCAGCACACTGTTTTAGGTAGCGGGTGTGCTGTGTGGTCTAGCAAGGGGACAGACACCTTGCCGACGAAGACTAATACTTCGTGACGGTGCCTACTTTTTTTTTTTTGCCTTTACGCGAGCACGGTCTTGCATGGGTAGCGGCTTTGCATGGTGGTTCTCTTCGGCCTGCAACGATCTGCGACGGGCGTGCGCTTGCGCACTCTCTTTCTCCCTCCCTGAGCTCCATAGGCAGACAAAGTTATCTTTTTTGACACATCACGTAACCCTTGCTCATGCATAGACTGTAACGCTGGCAGGGTCAAGGGGTGGGGTGGGTGGCGGGGGGGTCATAGCAAAGCTCCGGGTCAGGGATCGCATTAGTTTTGTTGTCTCTGTATTTGCTTTTTCAACCACCTCTTGCACTTCCTGTCGTAGTCTCAGAGTATAATGATGTGTGTGTGGCGCAGTCGGCTATCTGCTTGCTTTTCCCCGTTGGCCGTATATCGTATTAGCCGTACGTACATGGAAAGGAGCGCGCCTTAGGCCTTGCCCGTTTGCAGGTAAAGTTTCCCGATGGCAAGATTGTAACATCAATGTATGCACGTCAACGTTCTAGGAAATATGTGGGTGCGAGGTGTGGGTACTGTCTTGGAGTGGAAGGTAGGGGGTGGAGTGTGGATGGGTCTAGGGGCTTAGTAAATATATTGATGTGTTCTTTCGGCCTTACTTTGTTAATATCGAAAGGGTTGTCTTTTCTTCAACAAGTGTTTCTAGCGCCTGTCGCGAAATGCCACAGAGGGCAACTTGTTAACTTGCACGGGCCACTATCGCTGTGGGTCGCTGCTCGGGGCTAGGTGAGAATAAGTGGGGATATTTCGGTGTCGGTGAAGCATGCCCTTGTTGTCGTGGGATAACGAGCCGAAATCTTAGCTGCAGGGCCTCCAGCTGCGGCTTCATGTGAAAAAGGGCCTTGGAGACAGTCAACGTGCCCAGTTTTAGGTTTGGAGACAACTTAGGGGTCCTAAAGTGCGCCTCATCTTGCATATGCATGAGATGAAATTAACGTCTTATCGCATGTGCTTGTTTGGAGAGGTCCTGGCTTGAATTAAGTTCCTGGGTGGTGCACGTATTGCACATCAATCACCACGTGACTCCTTTTCGAGCCTCCGGCCAATCGCTACACCTGCACAACAGCCTCATTCCGACCCAAGTACGGGTTCATCGTCTAAACCCGTATGCGTGATACGGACGTATCGTACTTGAGATTACTCAGCCTCTGTTCGTCTCGCACTGTTCCTTCCGACGTCCAGCAGGCATCTTCCATGCGGTTTCACCGTATCATGCAAGCCGCATAGTCTGTAGTAGCCCAACGGGTACGGCACGCGATGACCCCGCACCTCATGACGCGTGCCGGATGATGTCGACTGTAGGGATCAAGTGAGTAGGCGAGATTGTAAGGCGACCAACGGTAGTTGCGAACATGTAATCTCGTTGGGAAGAGAGTTACTCCAGACTGGAGCGAACGCATGCGGATGCGGTGGATTGGAGACAAGTGGATCTCGTGGTCGCCTCACTCCACACTCTTGATTGTCCAACAACGGCACGCCGTCATCTTCTGATGAGGTCGCACGACGCAAACAACGAAATTCTGCATGAATGGTGCGGTGTAGTTGGACTTGTCGACGGAAAGATTGTACACATGGCGATATAAATCCCGAGGCTTCTTTCGGGGGTAGAGGTGGACTGATAAAGAAGCTTCTTTGCATGTAGCACTCCTCTCAAAATACAGAATCGCATACTCTCTATATCAGCAACTTGCTCTTCTTCCCCAAAACCATAACACTTGAGACCAACATCCAACCATGGTCCTCGAAGCCGCCCTAAGCCTTATCGTCGTTGGCAGCTTGAAACTCACAGCCCTCGGCCTAGCACTCGCATGGAAAGCACGTTATCAAATCTAGCCCAACCCAATCCAAAAGAACATACAGCAAGAAAAAAAATAGAAAGTCAAACACCCAAAAAAAGTGAACAAGAACAATCACCGACGTTGCAAACCTGCCACGCCAAACCAAAGGCAACAGTTGCGGTTGCGTAACCCACCTCTCTCTCTCTCCGAATTTACCCCGCAGCACGCAACACCTCGACACGGCGACGTGCTTGCCAGCCAGCCAACCCAGCCCAGCTCAGCTCAGCAGAGTAGTGTGATACCCACAAGAAAGCAGCCCCTCCACCAGCTTCCAGAAACAAAAGTCTACAGTAACAAAAGTCATCGATGACAACAACTTCATCCATCTCCGTACCACAACATCGTCTCAGTGCACCACCGCACGCACCTCCAACTTACCCCATCCAACCAACAATGTCCCTCGCACGCTCCCGCTCCCGCTCCCGCTCCCCCCAACCCTTCTCCCAAATCCCCATCCTGCCCCTCAGCGCCGCGCTGTCGCCAGACACGAAACCCCAGTTCCTGGCCGACCTGCGGTCAGCGTTGCTGCACGTGGGATTCTTGTACTTGAGCGAGACGGGCTTGCCGGAAGCACTGGTGCAGCATGTGATTGGCGAGTGTCGGGGTTTCTTTGAGGAACTGCCGGTAGAGGAGAAGGAGAGGATCGAAATGAAGAATGAGAAGAGTTTTTTGGGGTGGTCGAGGGTAAGTTCCTACTATTATATTATTCATTTCCTTTTCGTGTTTCATTTTGAGTATTCAAAGACATCACAATTTCAAAGGAGAAGTATACGACAAGACTCCGCAAAGATATTGTGATCTATTGAAGCTTTAACTAGAGCTCTATATGTGCTATACGCTATGCATGGCCCATAGGTTCGGTGCGTGCGGGAGCGGGTAATAAGCAAAGAAGAGGATGTATGATTATGGTACAGAAAAAAGAAGAAACAAAAAACAGCCGGCCGTTGAACCCGTGATGCGTGGAAAAAAAAGGAGGAAAACAGCAGATTACCATCCAAAATGCTACAAGTACTATCTGCCGAGCAAGATAACAAGGAACAAAAAAGGAAAACAATTAAATCATCTGGGTATATCCGTTTCGAAAGACACGACGACAAACAAATGTGTACTCGCAATCGTCATATCGACAAGTCCCAACTCATCCAACTGCCATTACGCTCCACCTCCTTACTCCCCTTTCTCTTCCGTTTCAAACACATATCTTTTTTTTCCTTTGTGTACTTGTTGTTTTTCATGTTGAAGTTTTTTCCACGACTCGTAAAATAAAAAAGACCGCATGTTGACAAATGCTTATCCTTTGCAGCTCGACAATGAGACGACGGCTTTCAATCCAGATCATAGAGAGCAACTCGACCTCTCAACACCGCATCCCGTTCCGGGACCAGAGGCGCCAATTTACCATAACCTTCTCGCACCAAATCAATGGCCATCGCCACAGCATCTTCCAAACTTTCGGCCCGTGTATGAAGAGTACATACAACGCATGTCCCAAATCTCGACGCTATTCACTTCACTTATCGCTGAAGCAATCAATCTTCCAGCTACAGCGTTTGACAAGTTTTTTGATCGCGACCAGCAGCACAAGCTCAAAATAGTAAAGTATCCCGAAGTTGATGTACCAGACTTGCCACAAGGAGCCAGCGAGATGGATCGCAAGAAGTGGGAGATCAAACGCCAAGGTGTAGGACCCCACAAAGACAGCATGCTGACCAGCTACTTGTTGCAAGCATCCAACCAGCTAGGTCTGCAGGCGCAAAACGCAAAAGGTGAATGGATAGATTGCCCGCCCATACCCGGCACCCTGGTTGTGGCGATAGGGCAGGGTATGGAGGCCTTGACGGACGGCGTTTGCGCCTCAACCACCCATCGCGTTCTCAGTCCTCGCAAGGGAGAGGGGGCGCGGTACTCGGTGCCCTTCTTCCAAGGCGTAAGCTACGACGCACAGTTCGAAGCCATGGACGTCCCCGAAGAGGTTCTCAAGCTGAGAGACGAGGCGAGAAAGCAGCGAAGGGATGATGTTGAATTTACCTTTGTCAAGGGCCGGTGGGGTCATCTAGGGGAAGCGACGCTCATGAACCGGATCAAGAGCCATCCTGATGTGGGAGAGCGGTGGTATCCAGAGGAACTGAGACGGATTCGCGCGCAGCAAGCAGCGGTATCGGCAGACACGCCGTCATCGTAGTTGATTAGAGCAATGCAAAATTGACCATGAAACTCTGCGGCAACGGCTTCTCAGCAACGGCTGTCAACTACCCTCGCTGTTCATGCGGTGTGACACACCAGCACACCACTGCACGCCAGCAACGATGATGCGTAGCGAGATGCAGCGATGCGGTGAGCTGATATCCACTTGGCAAGGTACAGGTCGGGAACGCTTCCCAGTGCAGACATGAACATGGAGAGCACGACCCGCTTGGGCGCCCATGGTGGCGATTGGATGGAAGCATGCCCGAGCCCATGTGTTCGGATCCGCGGGTAGCCACGCATGGACTCCACACCCTGTGCTTGGCAGCAGCGCAGGCTGGGTGTCAAGCCACCAAAATTTCTGCTGGCCTCGGTCCCACGGCGCTTTTGAGAGACCCATGGGCGGGCAGCTGCCGGTCAGTAGTGCCGGAGACATGGCAATGGCAGAGCGCACGACATGCTGATGTTGCGCGTCGTAGCCGAGGATCCATGGGCTGCTGCTCCTTAGTCGGCTCAAGTGTAGTTGTATTTGGCATTCGACGTTTCAGCGTTGCGACTAGTCTGCCCATCCAGGGAAACTCTAGCAATCTTTGTAGCGTATGTGGGGCAACCCTGCTGTCATCTTGTCTTCGTCTCGCGCAAACGCGCATCACACGGGCTGCAGACGGCTGCGGTCATCGGAAGTCGGGAAAGCTCGGGAGAATTGCATTGCCAGGATCGGTCCCAATCAGACGTTCGGAGAAGCTGAAGCGAGAAGCCAAACGAAAAAAAGACGACCCCAACGCTCTCACATCCCGCGACCCCAATGGAGAGGTCGCGGAATGTTCCATTGCTCATTTCCCGTCTTCTGAGAAGCTTCCACGCCATTAGCAGATCCACCTCTTCACCGTCTGGTCGACTCTAGCCTCTCCAGGGTCGTTCGCTAGCTGCACACGCAGTTTGATAGCGTGCCATTGTAGTTTCATTGGTGGCGCGGATGGGCAGTTGAAAGCGGATTTGATCCAATTGTCCAAATGTGGGCCTTGCCGTGTCGCTGTTTCATTGTGTTTTATGCTATCGTGGGGGGACTCCAACACGGATGCGAAATTGTCCGAGGTCAGGCTTGGGAAGTAGCTGCACGGTGCGCAACAATGCCGTGAACCTATAGGTTGCCTTGACCTAGCGCAAAGGCCGCAGGATCGTGGCATGGTCGTCCCTAGCAATTCCCGCAAGATCGTGTTCTGCCGTTAGGCATAAGATCGAGGAGTCGGCCAACGCTACTGCTTTGGGACGCCCTTCGCGGTGCCGTTTTTAGATGCAGCCAAGTACTCTACAGGCGTATCGTTGCTGTGCCGCGTGGTGCCGCGTGTCATGGTGAGTTGTAGCTTGCCGTCAAGTTTGTGAAGAACATGTTGTTTCATGTGACGCGGTTGTTTGAGGCGATGTTTAGAATTCGAGGCTCTATGGATGATTGCGAACCCGACATCTTGGCCAACGGTCTGCAGCCACAAAGGATTTTGTGAACATGCTTGGACGAGCCGGGTCACCCCTCAATGCTCAACCTTCATGTTTGATTGGTATGGCTGGTACATAATGTGCTGGCCTTGCTCATTCATCATCTGAGATTGGCTGTGTTGCGCATGCATCATGGGCATTTCGCCGCCATGGCTGACCTGTGGGGGATAGCCTTGCTGGGGCCCTACAGCATATGAACCATAGGGTGCTGAAGTGTGGTGCTGCTGGTGTTGAGCAGGAGCCTGGCCCTGAACCGATTGGTGGTGCATCGGGACACTCATGTGTCGCTGGTACTCTGAAGTATGCGGAGAAGGGTGTGAGGTGGGCGTACCGTATCCCGACATTGGCATAGGTTGTGACGTGACCATGGAGGCGTTCTCAAGAGGATACGACATGGCCCGGGCGTTGCTCTCCATGACATATGGGCTCGGGTAGGACATGCTCGGCTGCTCAACTGCATGAACAGATGGATCCTGCACTGGCATCGAAACCTGGTGGTGGTGTTGCTGCGGTTGCTGCTGCTGTGGTTGCTGTTGCTGTGGGTGACCAGGATGAGGGCTCCAGCGAACAGCCTCGTGTTGAGGCGCTTGAACTTCGCCCATGGCTGGTGGCGTATCGACATGTGGTGAGGAGACATGTTGAGCATATGTGTGCTGTGGCTGCCAGTGTGCTGGTTGTGAGACGGGTGTCGCAATCTCTGGTACAGAGTGTGCGCTCCTTGCAGTCCCAGTTGACATTCTCCGGGGCTGGCTGAGCATCTGAACGCGGTCGCTGGGCGAGGGTGCCCCTGGTTGGTGTTAGTGAATATGCACTGCTATCACATTGAATTTCAGATATGAAGTTGTCGTTATCGTCTCGCTTGGATAGCAAAAGGAAGCGAAATGTTACAGATGCTGCACGTCGCTAAACGGGGCGGGGCCAACCAAATCATCGGAATCGAGACAGTGGGAAAAGAAATGTGTGATGATGCTGCGAGAACGACGGTGGCTGCATTCGAACGGCTGCGGCCCGAGACACCAAAAAAAGCAACTGAAGCGGCTCGACCACTTTACTGGTGGAACAACTGGACAGTGCTTTTGGGGGGGGAGGACAGAGAGAAAGGGAGAAATAAAGTTCATCACATACCGGCACCTTGTTCTGGAACACCAAGGGTAGAGACTGCATGCGACAAGCGTGCGCGTAGCATGCCGTTTTCTTGCTCGAGCTCCTCGTTTCTTCGGATAAGATCCATCATCTTGGTTGAAGAGTTGTTCTCGAGCTGGGCTGTAAGGTCACGAACTTGGCGCTCGAGAGTGTCAATGTGATCTTTTGTTCTCTGACGAATGGCTCGCTGTGCTTCTCGGTCGTTTGCCCTCTTCCGCTCCAGCTGAGCAGCAGTGAGCGTCGTGACGCTGCGTGTTCCAGCTCTCGATGGACGCTTCTTCGCGCCGGGGGTAAGTTGCCTGGCCTCAGAGCCAGACGAGTGGCCCTCATAGGGCGGAGATCGCTTCTGTTGATCCATGTGAGGTGAGTGGTAGCTGGAGGTACTCATGTGGTCACTCCTGTAGGCGATGGGGTCTCGGTAGTGAAGGATTGAAGTCATCGAGGATCCGCGAGAGGCGGTGAAAGTATATGCGATGTCGAGGTTGCTGTGTCAGCGGAGTCCCAAACAAAACACGGTCCAAGCGTTGTGTGAATATATCAGGTTATGCCGGCTGTGAGTGATGAGCTGTTCCCGGACCTCGAAGAAGAGGGGGAAGCAATAGAGACAAGAGGAGTGTGCTGTGGGGAGTGAGCCGGGTAGTGTATTAAGAGGACGGGAAAATAGAAGCCAGTCAAGAAGAGGATAATTTTTTTTCCTTAGCAAAGAAGACGAGGCGGCGAGGCCGAATGGGCGAGACGGAATTGTAGAGAGACACGACTGAGAGCGATGCAAGACATGGCTGGCATGCGCCTATAACTTGCTATCAGGGCTTGATGAGTAGCGGCGGCCTCTGCGTACCATGCTTCGACCCTAGACTAGCGTTGGCTCGCTGATCCTGGCTCTGGGTGGATAGCCACACAACGTGGGCTCTGGGGAAATCGTTTCACTTTAGCTCGTACATTAGTGACTTCCAGGCTTGAGCGAGGCATAGCGGTGCGCCCAGCTTGTGGCCAGTCGCTTAGGGACAGACAGCCAAAGGGCCTCCATAGTCAATAAAGTCTCAACGGTGGTGGCACCTGGGCGATTGAAACCTCGCCCAACGTGCATGTGCATAGCGACAGCTGGCTGTTCTGGAAAAGCGCTACGAGCTTTGGGCCGGGACATTGCACACCCCCACCAAGGGTGGCATGGCCGAGTTCCTGCGCAACACACGTCCTCGGTCTACGTTGGGTCGGATGCGAGGTGGGCACAGAGGAGCAGCACGACGGGACCCACCAGGACAGGTTCAGATGGGCACGCATAAGACGGAAGAGCGAGGGCTGTGATGTCGCCATGACCGCTTGCCAGTCAGGTAGCTGGTCGTGTTTGCGGACCGTAGCGAGGTTTGGGATGACAGACCAGACACGGACAAATTGTGACGTTTGAAGAGCGCATGGCGTGGGCTCCTGCGGCGGCGACGTGAAGCGATACCAGGATGCAAGGGTGCCACCGCCCGGCCAGGACGGCCAGGAGAAGACGCGCACGTGGAAGCCCTGCATGCAGAAAAATTAGCCCGAGAGCGCCAAGCCGCCTGATACCCTGTCGCTGGCTGCTTCAGAGTCGGAGCGCCGGTCAAAGATCCATGGATGCAGAGTAGAGGGTGTCGAGCGTCTCGCAATTGCGCGCACCCTCGAAGGGGGGCCCGCTGTGGATCTCCCAGGGCAGCATCAGCATCAGGCAAAGCAGACAGGCAGGCTGGTAAGTAGACAGGCCCTGCCCGCCAGAATGACCTGTAGGGGGAGCCTGAACCTTGCCCGCCCTCGTCGTCGCGTCGATCATGCCCGGGGTCAGGGCCTTTCTGCTAGACCGTCTCCTCTTGCTCCGCAGAGGGCACGAAGCGCGCTGGCCCAGGATGCTTCCGAAGTACCTCCACGGGCCATGTCTACCTGCAGTGACATCTCGCATTGGAGCACCTTTGCCGAACTGCTACGGCTGCCACTACTGCTGCTAATCCTGTGTGCTGGCTACCACCTGTTGTTGCTGTAGGATTTGGGAGGGGCGCGTGCGTCTCCCTTCCCCCTCACTCCCACCCCCTCCACTCGCAAACTTTATCGTGGCCTCATCGCCATCCAGCTGTGTTTCATGCCGTGTGCTGGCCATGCATGATGACTGCTAAACAGCTGCTGTCTAAATCGGGTGTGCTGCAGAGTGGGACGATTTCGTGACGGATCCGTCAGTCATTCGCAGGCCTTTCAATGCCGGGGCTCTATGTAGGGAGATGCATGGGCCCCAGTAGAACAAGACGGAGAGGGATACACAGATGCAGAGAGAGGGATGGAGACAGACAGCGCCCGTGATGCGCTCCTCGTCAGGGCCCTTGCACGTCGACATGGTTAAAGTGGCCATGTTCGGAAGACTTGAGGCTGATGCTTGACCGTCCCTCTTTTTTTTTCTCACTCTCACTCTTTTGTTTTTCCCTACTTTTATCCTTCACCGCAACAGGGTTTTTTGTTCAGGTCACGAGTACCAATCTAATGATGATCCGCCCAAGCTTATGCCGTCATTTTGGGGCAGCGCACACAGTGATGTGCAGTGAGGGCACCTCAACGATAGCCAAAGCAGTGCGCTATCCATGGCCTCCCCCCCGTTATTCGATAAAGCAAGAATCCTCCGAGACGCCCCTCACCGCTCTATAGACGACACAGCTGCACAGGGTGAGGCTATGTGGCTAGTAACCAGATGGGGGCGGCTAGCGCTAGTACCTGGACATCTGTCCCAGCCACTCGAGATGAGCTTGGCGCCGATATTGGACGATAGCGATTGTCGGTAAGTTTCTCGAGTGATGGAAAATGATGATGCACGTCGGCTGCGCTAGGCTTAGAAGCCGCCAGCCGCGAGCCGCGAGCAGAGAATTGACCGGCGGGGCACGCGATGAGGCGCGGCGACGGTATGACGGATGTGAGTGCAGCAGCGAGTGGTGCTGGCAAGATGCATTTGTGTGAGTGTGTGGTTTTGTGGATGTTGGATGTGCGTGCAATGCGCGTGTTTGTGTTTGTGTGTGTGTATAGTATGTGCGCATGCGTGGATAGGCCGACGGGCGGGTAGTGTGGAGGGGCGAGAGTGGGGGGGCAAGAAAGGAAAGGGACAGCGCCGCACCAAGCTGCAGCAGCCATCTAATTGAGCCTAGTAAGAGCGTTATTTGACATCAAGAGGACCTTTGCCTTCTATCTGAGACAGGAACGTCTTGTTTTGTCGAGCAAAGCGCTTCATTTGCAATTTGCTTAGCAGCAGCAGCAGCGGCGGCGGCGACGGCGGCGGCGGCGTAGAGGGCATGGAGCGTGCACGTTTCCCTGCAGTCACCGTAGTTAGCCTCATTGCCTATGCTCATGCTCGCCGTTCGATTGCTGTTTTCGCCTCTGTTGCGTTTAGTGCGTCAATACGCCGTGGCGGCAGGAATCATGCAATATGGAATCATTTTTTTTCCTACTTAGAACAGATGCAGGGCCCTTGGTGTGCGCCGCGGAGAAGCCACGCCCACTGCCGTTGACACCGAAGCTGTCGCTGAAACCACCTCCAACTGCTCGAACGTGCATCACGACGGCAGCCACGGCAGGCCAAGGCAGCCCACCAGTCAGTCGTCAAACCTCCAGCCGGGCAATCAATCGAATCAGTCAGCAATCAGTCAGTCCAATGAGTCGGACACGCCTACTTTGTACTTGGAGGAGCCCCGTGGTGGCAGAGGCTGTCGTCTGTCTGTATATGCATACTAGAGGTAAGTATGTATGTACGAGTAGGGTAATATTACATACAGACACATCCGTGCAGGCTCCCGTGGCCCGGCGCGGCAGATCGATGGGAGTAGTTTGGTTCGATTACTACCCATCATCTCACCCACACTCATCCGTCTGGTCGCCTCCGGTCGCCTCTAGCTGCTATGACTGGGCCAGGAACCCACGACTATACCGTCGGGACGTGTGATGGCTGCACATCACGGCGGCGCCTTTAGGCAGGAAGACGAGCGGGCTGTGGATGGTGCTAGGTCCAAGTCTCGTCTTACATACTACATTAACATTCGATACGCAACCAAGTACGTAAGTAGGTAAAATACATAGCTGTGTAGTATTACTTAGATGGCAGGGTCAAGTCCAGCCATCCATGTCAGATGCGACGTACGACACACTGTCCCGTCGGCGATTGCGCAACCAAACTTGCATTGCCTGGGCGGACCAGCGCGCTCAGCTTGGTTGCAGAATGGGAATGTAAACATGGTCTGTTGATCCAAAAGTGCAATACACGCCGCCGAACACCCCAAAAGGGCCATCTTGTCCCCCCTCGCACCGCCCCAAGTCTCGCTACCAAACTCTGGACGCCTGGTTCCGCCTCGACGCCGGAGTTGAGCCGATTTCCAGCCATAAGCCAGGTGCAGAGGCCCTCTACGTACTACGCGAGAACGACGGCTGCTAGACACGAACTCAATCCACGGGCTATGGCGGCCTTGCAGTGTCTAGTGGCCCTGACTTGGGGGTCGCCCACGAGGCTCTCCCTTTCTGAAACAGGCTTGTAGAATTTAGACTTCTGCGGGGCCCGCATCCTGGCATCCTGGCTTCCTGGCGTGCCCGACGACGGAATGGTGGTGTGTCCCACCTGGCCTCTCCCACGGCTGCACCGCCGCTGCTGCTGGCTGGCTGGCTGGCTCTTTCCCATCCACTGACTGCCCACCGCCCGCTGCCCCTCTCCCCCTCGCTAATGCCGTCCCTCCGCTCCTTCCCTTACCGATCACGCTTACCGACACCTCGCGCGCCAAGGCACGAAGCTTGCGCCATTAGCTCTCTCCGAACCTTCTAGCCTGTAAGCTAGAAGGTTACTCTACAATGGCGCAACCATGGTTCCTCTGCAGCGCAAGAGTCCGCCGTCCGTCTGGCAATTAGACTTCTCTTTCGCCTCCAAAGCCCACCGCCCACCGCTCATTCCCCTCCCGCAGCTTTCCACGCTGACAGCCCTGCCCACACACGAGACATCCACCTGGCCAGCTCTGCCCCCAGCTGCACCCATGTCTCGTCAGCACTCTGCACTTGAATCAACAATAAACATCATGCATCACCGACGTAATTGCGGGGTATATTGTACTCACACACTGATTCTGTCCCTGGTGGCGTCTCAAACCCTGCATCAAGGGGTGTGAGAGGGCAGGGGCATACCTAGGCATGCACGTCTGGGTGTAGTGTAGTACACATTCGCTTGCCTTCTACCCTTTCAGCTGACCTGCATCTGTCCTTTCCAATCCTGGCGCAGTATCGCTTGGGCTGCGGTCAACCAGGTGTTTGCTCAACGTCGGATTCAACATTGCGACTATGCCGCGCCAGAATTAACGGGAGAACTACTACTAACACTACCCTAACATGGCGCCATACTCCGGGCCTAAATGACGTCGAGAGGAACATATTGTATCCACACGGGGCTCCATAGAGCTTCACGGAGTAAAAAAATTCAGCCCGCCTTTCAGCTTGCCGCACGTGGTATGAATGTGGATAAGGCAAAAAGCCACTGGGAAGCCAGTCCATATCTGCCATGGCAGAAAGAGAAAAAAACAAAAAAAACAACACCTCTAACGCTAGAAACGTGCTAGAAGCGCCTAATGCATTTCAGCTTCTAGTATATGATTCGATGGCGTTTCTAGCCGACCACACTGAAGCACGCCACTGCCGCCGCCGCTTACTACTCCTTTTTGATGTACTTGTCAAAGATTTTCGAGATCTCGCGCGCACTCTTCTTAGGGTATCGCTTCTGTCCGCCCTTGTAGTCGACATAGGTCACGCCGAAACGCGTCGTATAGCCCTCGGCCCACTCGAAATTGCTACAAAAAACTCATGTCAGCATACATACTTGTAATCTTATTGCTTTCGACTCGCCGAACACCAGCTTTGGTTCAGTTTGAAGCTAGAAGAAAAGGTTCGGTCTGCCAGAGCTTCTCCGGCCATCCGCTTACAGCCCATTAACCCCCGTCGAAAAGCGGGTCGTCCAGGTGTAGGGATAGTATACGCGCAGCAAAAAAGAAACAAGAAGGAAGGGGGGTAATGAATAAGTGGATCAACGTACTCCATCAGACTCCATGCAGAGTAACCCCTGACGTCTACCCCATCCAAGGTATGGGCATCGGCCAACGCGCCAATGTAACCCCTAAAGTATTCACACCGAAACTCATCGTCGAGCAGCTGCTCCAGAGGCAGATCATTCTCGCCCTTGAGACTGGTGCCGTTTTCTGTCACATAGAATGTTGGGCCTCCGTACCGGTCACTAAGCCACTTGATCAGTTTCCTGAAGCCCAACGGCATCGGCCGTAGCCATACGGATTGCGTCTCTGGGCCAATCCATTCGCCTTTCTTATTCTGATGCAGAATATCAAGGTTTCCGACGTGGTCATCCAGCTCCGGCTCAGTGTCCCGGTGCCTAATATAATGGGCACAGTAATGATTCATGCCATAGAAATCGTTGCTGCCTTTGACCAGGGCCGCTTCCTCCGGCGTGAATTCTGGCAACCGATCGCCCAATTGCTTACGCATCGAGTCTGGGTACTTGCCAAAGTAGACTGGGTCTCCAAACCAGCAAATGGCAAATTCAATCTTCCGGTCACACGCTTCGCGGTCCTTTGGATCTTCGGGATCCCACGGCTCCGTCCAATCCCCTATACGGACATGTATCAGCATACCAATATATTCATGCGGCCTCTCTCAAGGCCCATTCTGACATGCTTTCCCCACCACCGCGTACATGCATGCACAGACTACGTGCGTGCACGCGAGTAGAGTTTCTGTTTCTGTCTACACGGAATCTGGACGCGAGGTGATCGCTTACCATTCAGAGTAATCCCAATCTGGCCTCCATCCTGTGCCTTAAAGTCGTCACGGTAGGCCTTGACTGCCGCACCATGAGCAATGAGGAGGGAGTGTCCGACGATCCATGGCTCCCTCGCGCTGTCTCCTTCAGCGCTCTTGGTTCGATCGCTGCATCGACCGGGAGCGAACAGCCCAGTGCCATAGCCAAGTACCGAGCTGCACCATGGCTCGTTGAAGGTGATCCAATATTTTACTTTTGACCCAAATGCCTTGAAACATACCCTGGCATAGTTCTCATAGTCCTTTACGAATTCGTCCTTGTTTAGCATGCCCCCATATCGCTTGTGTAGCTCATCGGGCAAATCCCAATGAAACAGGGTTATCATGGGCTCAATGCCGGCAGCACGGAGCCCATCGACCAGATTGATGTAGTATTGCAGACCCTTTTCGTTTACCGGGTCATTGCGTCCACCAAGCGGAATGATGCGGGACCATGAGAGAGAAAAGCGGTAAGACTTTGCGCCAAGTTCCTTCAACAGTGCAATGTCCTCGTCAGCACGGTGGTAGGAATCACAGGCCACATCGCCCGAGTCTCCTCCAGCAATCTTGCCCGGGATGCGGCAAAATGAGTCCCAGATGGAATCGGCACGACCGTCTTCATGCGGTGCGCCTTCGATTTGGTAACTGCGGATTCCAAAACTCAGCATGTGACAATCAAGTGGCCCTTCCTTGTTGGCGGGGTACTTTTGAGTGGAGAAAGGCCTGGCTAAACGAACCTCGCTGTTGCAAACCCCCAAAGGAAATCCTTTGGCAAGTATGATTGCGACATGATGAGCTGCGGTATGTCTAATCTCTTCAAGTGTGTTCTATGCTGAATGGTCTAAGGGGAGAGAAGGAAGAAAGAGATGACAAAGTTCTCAAGCTTGTAGCAGCGGGACGGCTATTATTTCTTCATATACGTGGGACCGGACTGCAGCGTTGGCTGCGGAGGACGTCCCGCGGTAACCGTCATTCACCCAACGACAAGACCTTAACAAGAGGCGCAGTAGGACAGATGAGGATCTTGGTATGGTCTTGTTCCACTCTAGTAGGCTATATTCAATTTCTCCGTCTTCTCAATGGCTCATTCAGTCCAGAGACCCCGCTTGGCCGGCTCGCCGACGGGAGGTTGTAGCTTCATTCCACATGACGAAGCTGTACCTTTGCGTCCATTCTGCCCGTCAGGATTCACAGTGGCTAGGGCGGTCAGTGGGATTGCGGGCCGGACATTCAGCCTGCCTATTATTCTACCACAAGTGGCGCAGCGACGTGACTTGGGAGTAAGTGATGTTTGAGAATGTGGCATGGCGGGGTACTGGGCAGCTCTAGGCGGATCTCTTTCCCTCGCTCTCTCCTCGTATCACCCGCCCTCTACCCCAGGATATAACACCGATGAGTGTGTTCCGCCTCTGCTCATTCGCGAACACCGGAGTTGATGACGTTGCGTGATGGAGAACGTCGGAAACGATGCTCTACACGTGGTAACCGATACGAGGATATGCCTGCAAGGACCGCGGAAGATATGGCTATACCGTTTTGAGCAGAACTTCCGCAGGTACAGTATCTCGCGCTCACGGCTTGAGTAACAATTCAATGTCGGAATCTCACTCGTGTTACGTGCTACGACAGCGCAGCGAAGCGTATATAATGGGCGATTGCTGGGGAAAGAAAACGAGGCAGTATCGCAGTGTTGGTTAAATTGCATAGAACTACCAAACGGCTCGCGATGATGCTATCTGCGTTGCGAACCATCCGATCTCCGACGACACGCGCTGCAACACAGGTGCACACAGTTGCGACGCAACCCCAGAGGCGCGCGGGCGATATCTCGGATGCCTTTGCCTCGCTTTCAGGACACGACTTCAAGCCATTGACACCTGAATATGCCGATCTCAAGGCCCGTCTGATTCGGGGTCACGAAAGTGAAGTTCGGGATTCATGGGACCGCCTTCTTCGCAACCTGCGCGACGAGATTCCGTGCATTGTTGAGCAAGGCAGCAAAGTCATTCCGGATATCGATTTCAAGGATATCGACAATGCGCCTGAAGCCTTCAGTAGTCAGCTGCGAGAGAGAGGTGTCGCTGTTGTCCGGGGCGTATTGTCGGAACAAGAAGCCCTGCAGTGGAAGGAGGATCTCAGAGAATATATTCGGCAGAATCCCCAGACAAAGGGTGGGTGCTTGAAACATTCTATGCTCTTATTATGACTGACAATTGACCAGCTTTTCCTGCCGACAACCCTCAAGTATTTGAGCTCTACTGGTCGCGCCCTCAGCTCCTTGCACGCGGAAACCCTAATCTCCTCAAGGCGCACCGCTTCCTCATGTCATACTGGCACAGCACCAACCCGCATATTCCACTGTCTACAAAGCACCCGATAAGCTATGCTGACCGTCTGCGTTTACGTCAACCCGGGGACGCTAGATTCTCAATCGGACCCCACGTTGACGGCGGCAGCGTCGAGCGCTGGGACGAACAAGGATACGGACTTGGAAAAGTGTACGACTCGATTTGGAAGGGTAAATGGGAAGAGTTTGATCCCTGGGAGGCCAGCTGCCGTTTGCCCATTGTTGCAGATCTCCATCAGGGTGTCGGAGCATGTAACGCTTTCCGCATGTTCCAAGGCTGGCTCTCGCTCTCTACAACCCGCCCACGTGAAGGCACACTTCTCGTAAACCCGCTCTTCGCCAAAGCAACAGCATACTATATGCTCCGCCCCTTCTTCTCCCCCAAACGCGGCGTCGAACTAGGCGCGCAAACCGCATCCGAAGCAACCACCAACACATCTGCTTTCCTATCCCCAGACAACTGGGAAATGGACTCACCGCAAACATCCTGGATCCATGGCGCAACACCCGGCCACGGCCAGGAACTCTCACACCTACTCCACCCGCATCTGCAGCTGCAAAAAACAATGATTCACGTCCCGACTGTCCGGCCGGGTGACTACGTCGCCTGGCACTGCGATACCATCCACAGCGTCGACAAGAAGCATCAAGGCACTTCTGATTCTAGCGTCTTATATATCCCCGCTTGTCCTATGACAGAAGATAATGCAAATCATCTTGTTCGCCAGCGCAACAACTTCGTCAACGGAACGCCGAGCCCGGATTTCGGTAGTGGCATTGGTGAGAGCGGACATGTAGGTCGCGTTCTGCCCGACGAGATGCAGCAACTTGTTGGGGACGAGGGGTGTCGTGCTATGGGGCTGCTGGAGTGGGACAGCGAGGAACCTGGGTTGGGGCCTGGGGAGAAGGTAATACTTGATCGTGCGAATAAGATTTTGGGGTTTTATGATTGAGATGCGTAGGTAGGAGTGATGAGCTGGTCTGATTCCTTTTGTATAGTTCCAATAACGTCATCATGGCGGATTTAGTTTTAGTCTAAGTAAGGTATATATCTATTATATTCTTCTCCTTTGTATTACCTTACTTTCTTAGAGGAGGAAGTAGAGTTGGGGTGAGTATGTGCAAGTTCCTACGTAGATGCTCAGTTTGTGGCACCAATACACACCGATTGTTTTTTATTTATTCTAGTTTCTAAATCCAAACATCGCACATTCCTCTTATCCACGTTTGCCTCATCGCCATCTTGATATACAAGTGACACACGCCCATATCCCTCGCGTGCCCAAATCTACCTACCTTTCCATAATCCCAGATTCATCTTACATTGTTGTATATTACTCATTTCCAGCCTAGCGAGATGGAAAGAAGGGAGAAAGAAAGGTAAGACATTTGCCCCGCAACGTAACGAGGTAGAGAGAAAGGACGCAGGGTTGCAGTTTATACTTATGGATGGATAGAATTAATGGGGGTGTATGTGAAGAGGGTAAGATGGGATGTTGCGGATGGGAGTGGGACGTGTTTTGTTGGTTTTGGGATGGGATGGGATGGACACGAGATGTGGGAGAGTACGAGGTAGGGCAAATGTCGAAACAGAATAGCCAGTAAAGAGGAACAGTGGGGTTGTTGTGCCCCTCCCCCCTACCGCTCTGGAGTTGGGATGTTTATGGGATGAGGAGGCGTGTGAGAGTGGAGATAGTATGCGTTAAAGTAGATGATTGGGAAGACAAGTATATCAAGCATGCCTTGATCAAGAAGCACATAGATACATCGTCATATGTCGATGTCATCAATTTAGCACCTTGTATTACCTCACCTTATCCCCGATCCCCCCTTCTCAACTTCAACATCACACATACGGGGGCATACACCTTCAACTATCACGTGCAAGGAAAATAAAAGAATGAGATTTTTTACCAGGCATCAAGTCATTTCCACGCACAGCAACCTCTTTGACACTCTCTTCCACGATCTCTTCCACGCTCTCTTCTCGCTCTTCACCCACGCATATACCCCCCTTTCCCCCCGTCCTATCAACCAAAAACGTAAACGCCTGCAATAACCCCCAAACAGCACAACGAACTCGATAACCAAAGAAAAGTTGTCAAAAATTGCAAACGATGGAAAGAAATTGGTATACCAACACCCCACATCTTCCACCCAACCTCCTCTAGCTCGTCTTCATCTTCGTCTTCTTCTGCTAACTGCCACTTTGTTTGAACCCGAAAACATCATCAAAGCCCCATCTTTCCTCTCTTTCCCCCCTCTGTTGTGCAAAAAAAAGGTCAAGTGAATGAAGTCAGCGGTGCCGAGGTAAATGAGAGATAAGAAGGGGAGGGAAAAGGGAGGGTAGGGAGTGGGGAATTGCGAAGGGGGAAAGGGGAAAAGGGTAGAAGGAGGGGAAGAGAGTAAGAGAAAAAGTTAAAGGGAGTGAAGAGAGCGAGAAGATCATTTTTTTTTAAAAAAAGGAGATTTTCTGGTTGAATGAACCGAGTAGATGATGGCGGTAACTGATGTAGTAATATCGGTAGCGATAACGTGTGCGAGTGTAGGAGTAAGGAGAATCGGGAATCCAAAATCCAAAAAAAAATCCTGAAATTTTGCAATTGAGAGCAAAAAACGAAAAAATAGGATAGTAAGGAAAAACGTAGCGTCCACTCGGGTTCAAATAAGGGGGGGGGAGGTTGAAAACAACACATACACACACATAATAAAAACAACAACCAAAGAAAATGGAAAACGCCCACTTAGATCCCTTGCATCCCCCAACCCACCCGGCACCCACATACCAACAACACCACCCCCCCTAAAAGAGGGTGAAACAAAACAAAACAAAGAGGCCAACCGAAGTTTCCAAAAAACCCCAAGCTTGCTCCGTTATGCTCCGGATAAGAGATAAAAAGCGATCGAGACGGTCGATAACGACACGGGTATATGGAAACGATTTTTGGGTTTCAAATGCCACCAACCACACAGCCTGCCAACCACCGCCACTGCCACCACCGCTGCAACCATGATGATTGGACTTCAAACAAACGGCTTTCGGCTTGCACTATACTTCTGTTGCACCGGCGAAGTCAAAGTCGCCAAAGTTTCCGAGACCGTCGTTGTCACCAGTGTGCAAAAATGAATCAAAGTCAAACGTCTCGAGCGCGCCGCCGTCGTCGGGGAAGTTGAGGCCAAGGTCAAAACTGTTAGGCTATTTGGGGTGTTAGCAAATGTACTATGAACAACATGAAAACAGTAAACGCACATCAGGATCAATGCTGCCAAATGGTTGACCACCTCCATTGTCCATGGGTTGATCGGCGGGCGCTGGTGGTTGCACAGGCTGCTGTGGCGGACCATTTTGTCCCTGGTTGAAAGACTGCTTGTGGACTGGCGTAATCGGGGCCACAGGAGTGGAAGACGTCGGAGTAGGAGGCTCTTCGCCGTTTGTTGCTGCTGGTGTCGCACCTGTATTCGCCCCTTTCTTGTTTGCGGGCTTCTACAATCAACATCAATGTTGCTCAAGGGTGGAATGGAAACTAGAAACTTTACCTTATTGTCCTTAGTAGGCTTCTTCTTCGGATTGGCCTTGTTGGTTTGAGACGGAGTCGGTGGGTTCGGGTTAGGCTGTGATGGAGAGGGCTCGGGTCGCGGTTGTTCGTTTGTAGGTGCTGGTGGTGGTGGCATTTGTTGGCGCTGCTGTGGGTTCTGGCCCATGGGTCCTCCCATTTGCTGACCACCGGGCATCATGCCAGGCTGAGGTCCACCACGCCAGCCATTCTGTTGCATCTGCCCGTTACGCATGGCCTCCATTTGTGCGGGTGTTATCTGTTGACCACCAAAGTTGGGTGGGTGCGGATGTGAGCTCGGGGGCCGCATGCCCATTGGGCCGTTCTGAGGCATTCCCTGAGAATAGAACTGCGGGGGCATTCCTGGGGGCGCCAGGCTAGGGTCAAAGTTCATATTCGGTGCAGGAGATGCGCGCTGCTGTCCTATGATGCCTTCTGGCATGGGGGAGCCGGGGAGATTCTGCTGACCCAACTTGGGCGTACCCCGCTTCATCTGGTCGGCGGGATTGGGTGAAGGACCGCCAGCTCTGCTACCTTGTGGTGACATGGCTGCCCCAAAACCTGGGGCGCCCATGACACCTTGCTGTGGGTGACCGGACTGGTTGTCCTGTTCCTGCCGTGCCATGAGTAATCGCTTCTTGTTCTGTTGTTCGAGAAGCATGAGCTGCATCTGGTAATCCTGCAGGGCATGGTTGCCTTGCTGAGGTGCACCTGGAGGATTGGTGGGCATATTGCTGGGTCGTGGCCCGTTGCCAGTAAAGAGGTTTTCTTGACCTTCAAGGCCGGGCTGGGCCATTGGAGAGCCTTGGACGCCAGAGTTCATACCCTGGGGGGACGACGTGTTACTCATTGCCACTCTGTGTTGATGGGCCAGGCTTTGGGCATATACCTCGATGTTCTTCTGCTGCGCACCTGGGCCTTGCGGCATGAACTCGTTGAACTGGTTGTTGGGCATGTTACCAGCGTTCATACCACCTGTATGACATTGAACGTTAGTTAACATACTGGGTCAGGGTCTTGACAAATGGACGTACCACCATCGACACGCGGACGCTTATTTGGAGACGGGGCATTCTCATTGGATCCGGGCGAGTTTGGACGCTGGCCGTTCATATCCATGCTTGAGCCGTCTCGCTGCATCTGCGCCGCCATCATGCCGGGGCCCTTCATCTGCTGCATGCCCGCCATGGGGTTGCCGGTGCTGCTGCGCGGTTAGTGGATGGTGTTGAATAGCACGACAGTGGGTGTGAAGGAAAACATACGGTCTGTTGTTGTTCATGGCTGCCGCCCGTTTAAGGTCGGTCTGGTTACCGTTGGTCATTGCGCCGTTTCTCATCATCTGGTATTGCGCGTTCATAGGGTTGTTCATCATCATGCGCTGGTTTCGCTGCTCATTCTGCAACTGGCCGAGGTTCTGAGAGGTCCGTTAGTGGCCTGCTATGCGTGTAAATAAGCTGGGACAAGATTGTGACCTACCCGGTTGTGGCCGACGTATTGAATCGCGTTCTTAGAGGCATTGCTGCGCGGCTTGGTGGCCGTGTAAATGTCCCAGAATTGGACCCACCAGTCGAGCAGGAAGGAATTGTCCGCGACCTGGTTGGGGGGCAGCGAGGGAAGAGGCAGGTCGTCTATCTGCTCAATCGCGTCGGCGCCATTCATCTTGCTGTTGGGGCTGGCCTTTTCCGTGGCCATCTTCATGTCGCATTCAAGCATGGCGCGCGCCAGGTTGAGGTGTTTGTTTCGCAGAAAGTAGTCGTAGATGTACGTGTTGAGCTTCTCGGTGGGGTCGGTGCCCTTGCCGCCAGGTTGCGCCATGTTGCGCATCATGGGGGTGCCATCGACGGCGCCGTTGTTCGCATTCATGGCCGCCATCTGCGCCATTTGCTGTTGGTTCTGCATCGCGACGATGCGTGGGGGCGGGTGCGGCAGGCGCGGAAGACGGGTGGGGAGTTAGCGATGGATGCGCGGTGCTAGCAATAGACGCGATATGTGTCGTGCACCTCGGTGCTGGATGGACGGACTACAACAGCATGGGATGTCGTCGCCACGGGAGATCGGAGCCGGAGCCGGAGCGGCGTGCCAGGGACCTGCTCAGCCTGCGAGGGACGGCGGTGAGGCTGTAGGCGCGCAAGTCGTGGGCGGGCGGGATGGAGGGCAGCCGACAAAGGGTAGCGACGGTGGTGTCGCGATGGAAAAGGCGGCGGCTGATGCACGGTATGGGACTGGGGGTTAGCGTGAAGGAAGGACTTTGAGAGGGGATGTCAGCGGCGCGCTCTGCACGGAGGCTGCCAAGAGATGGGATCACGACAACAACGTCAACGACAACCGAAGATCCGCCTACGTGATGGAGCGCGTCGGGCGACAAAAAGGCTCGGAGGAACAGTGGACAGGTCGTGGGAAGTTTGTGACGCTCCGGGAATCGAGGGGAAGGGCGGCGGTCGCTCGCTGAGCTGCGCCAAGTCACGTCCACGTGACTGAGTATTATTAGACTTTGGCCTCGCACCAGCCTCCCCTTTGCGCACCCGCGCGCCCTCAGCAAAAACTGCACTTGGCTGCTTGCTTTTGGCCCTGCATTGGCTGCCCCCCGACACGCCTCACGCCATTGCTGGCTGCTGTGTTGTCGTTGTTGTTGTCGTCGTCGTGGTCGTCGCAGTCGCAGTCGTCAAGACAAGGCCCCGTTACACACCACGCCCCGACGGGCTGCGAGGGTGCGTGGTGGGGCATGTGCATGTAACGCGACCTGGACACTCCCACGGCGCCAGCTGCTTGAGCGGGAGACACAGCACAGTGTATACCTTGTTGGCCTCGCGCACTCAGTCGCCCTGGCCCAGGCATCAATCACTCAATCAATCAATCCTCAACCATGGGCAGATGCGCACTCGTCAATACACACATTCACGTACGTGCAGAGCAAAAAGAGGACCCCTTTCCCCAATCTATCGTGTTGCGGGTGCGAGTGCGAGTGCAATTGCGCCATTGTCCATTGTGCAATTGTGCCCTCATGCGCCTCGCTGACCGCCTACAACCGTGCAATTCTATCGGTGGCAATGGATTGGATCCCACGCCAAATGCAGCCTGCCTGTCTGGCATAGACTTTAAGACATCCATGGTGGCGGTGTGCAATTCTCCAGCAAACGGGGCCTTGTGCACATCGCTGCCTCGTTGGTCAAGTGACTTCACTTAGAGTCGTCCACACTGTACATGCCCGTTTAGCAACCGCTGACCTTCATGCTCAAGACGTCAATTGGAACATGTGTCCTCCCTCTCGCTCTCTCACTTTTGCTCCTTGTCTTCTACTCATCATCCGGTGGCATCTCGTCATCAATGTAGCGGACCAATGATATCCTCATCTCCGTGGTGTCATTGCCTCGTAGGACGTCACTGACAAAGTGCGCCTCGACTTGCATGTGTACCTAGTTCAGAAATGAGTACTTCGTTTGCCTGCAACGTCGTGGCAGAGTATAGTCCCAGGAAGACGTACCATCTCCAATGCACCCCGCAGTACACCCACTAATATGTTTGAGAACCACAGCTCATCCTGCGCGCGCCCATCATCTGGTAACTCGACGAAATCGGCAAGTGGGTTTTCTTCGAAAATGAGGGAGAATTGCTTGTTGTCACTCGACCAGTTCGTAATGGTCGGGGTAATGTTGAGGAAGATTTTGAAGCCGACCTATACTGCATATCAGCTGCTGAACAATCAATCCATTTACGACTTGACATGGGCTACCTTGGAGATCATCTCAGCCACCTCTCGAAAGTTGGTGCAAGCAGGCGCACTCGACTTTGCGAGGAAGTCTTCAATCAACCGTATTCCGATATTATACCCCATGCGCTCCAGTTGCTTGTTGACGTCTGGGTAATTGTATTCGTAGTCTTTGCATAGTTGTGCAACGATGGTTCCGTACGTGAGTGTGACTAGCTCGGCACTGACTTTATCGACTCGTGTTCTTACACAGTCAGAGCCAGCAAACGCAAAAGGTTCATACACAAGGCTTACTTCCATACTCTGACATGTATTAGCGCATCGTGAAGCAGGTGCCAGGCTTGTGGAGCTCACTCCTCGCCCATGCGGGCCGCTTTGGTTGACGAAGACATAGTTCACTCAGGCGATTTTTGGCGCAATATACACGAAGGGCGAGGAGAGGAATTCTATAGACGCGGGGTAAGGCGGTATGTGAGGTTGCTATGATTGAGTCGTGTCGTCGGCGTCAAGGGGCACGCGGAGCAGCGTACCTAGCTCGGGCTGTGGAGCGTATATCTCTTGGCGTCGATCTACCCATGAGGAAAGTTCACGAGCTACTACCAGACCGCGAATTTGGACGCGACGAAACCGAAAACTCCACCACAAAACCCATATCACCACACATACTCCGCCATGTCTAGAGAGAAGCGACCCGCAAATGAGGCTTTTGGCACAAGCCAGTTGGTTAAGCGCACCAAGTCAGATGCCAACCTTGGAGGAAGCTCTGCAGTAGCTGTAGTCAACGGCTCGAGCGCAAATGGCGCCCTCATACAAGCGGTATGTCACCACCGAGGATGTTTCTACACGAGTACCAAGGCTGAAGGTAGCGATGCGCTGACAGGTCCTGTAGGGGTCGCGCGCCAGCGCACTGCAGTCGCCAGTCATGGAATTAACAGGCCACTCAGGCGAGGTCTTTGCAGCACGATTCGATCCGACCGGACAATGCATTGCTTCTGGCTCTATGGATCGCTCTATATGTGAGTTTGGCCCCAGATTGGCTGAGAAATTCGTATTGACAGTAATCAGTGCTTTGGCGCAGCTCCGACACTTGCGAAAACTATGGCATCCTCACTGGTCACAAGCAGGCAGTACTCGACTTGCACTGGTCACGCGATTCTAAAGTTCTCTTCTCCGCGTCGGCAGACATGCACCTAGCAAGTTGGGATGTTGAAACTGGAGAGAGAATACGAAGGCATCCAGGTCATGAAGAGGTTATCAATTGTATGGACGTGAGCAAGCGCGGTGAAGAGGTACTTGTGAGCGGTTCCGACGACGGCTATATTGGGGTAAGAGTTGCACACAACATTTGGCTGCTATAAGACTAGTCTAACAGTGGCAACAGATTTGGGACACTAGAACAAAAGATGCCGTAACCTTTATCCAGACGGACTTTCCCATAACAGCAATATGTCTAGCAGAGGCTGGAAACGAGCTATTCACAGGTGGCATTGACAACGACATTAAAGTCTGGGATCTGCGGAAACAGGCAGTGACATACACACTGATTGGGCACACCGATACAGTCACTTCGCTCCAAATGTCACCAGACAACCAAACACTATTATCCAACGCACACGATTCGACTGTCAGGACGTGGGATGTAAGACCCTTTGCTCCCGCTGATCGACGCATACAAACGTATGATGGAGCCCCTACCGGCCAAGAGCGCAACCTCTTGAAGGCGAGCTGGGACTTCAAGGGCGAAAAGATTGCAGCTGGTAGCGGGGATCAGAGCGTGGCCGTTTGGGAGACGCGAACAGGGAAACTCTTGCACAAACTGCCAGGCCACCGAGGCGCCGTCAATGACGTGCGTTTCCACCCTCTTGGCGAACCCATTTGTAAGTTCAATCAAATTTCATATAAGCCTCAATACCTCGGCTGCGGCTGCCAACGATGTCTGGATACCCTGCCAGAAGGTGGAATCAGACGGAGGGCGGTCCGCACACCCTCTCTGTCACTCTGTTTGTCTCCTGCGAAGCATCAAGCTGACTTGGCAATACTTAGTGGTCTCCGCCTCCTCAGACCGCAAGGTCATGGTAGGCGAGCTCGGCAAGTGAAGGGGTGAAGCTTCGGTATCTTGGCTACACAGTTCTGACTCGAAGAGATGGGCACGAGAAGCGTGGAGAAAGGCCCCAGTAGCTTCCGGCCCAGGTAGACGTCACGCGGACGTTTGTGGGATAGGCTGGATACGCCGGTGAGACAGTTGACAGGGTTTGAGAGTCGCATGTACGCACAATGGTCGACGATGCAGCGAAACCGACGAGTATGGTCATTGAGAGGATGCGTCGAAGAGAGAGAGAGAGAGTTGGCGTAGCAGCGCAACCAGCCGTCGACAGCAGTCTAGCCAACAATCAACCCGACGAAATTTGCTATAGCGCGCCTTCATGCCTTTCTTATATTGTGCTAAGCGCACGACAATCTGCTGCCGCCTTACAGTGTGCAGCCGCGTTGCTAAAAGCAGGGCCTGGTGGTTGCGTAGACCTGATTGGGATGGGTGTTTCAGGCTCTTTTTCCGACAGCCAATCAAAGTCGACCTTCCCCAGGTCTTTCCCTGAGCTGCGCTACTGCTGTCATCCACCACACGCCTGGGTGGCTCCAAAGCAGAATGCCCATGTCTACGAACGCGGTCTGTGCTACACGCAGGATCACTGCTCCAGCCCAGCCGCGTTTCATCGTTGCTCTCATCGCAGTCTGACACACGACTCGTCGCGAATACGCATAGCGCTCAATGCTTTCTCGACCGTGGCCGTCGTTGCTGTCCTTACCCATGTCCTAGTGCGACAGCAACTCTTCCTCCTCAACTATGATGGCTCTATCGTCCTTTTCATTCAGTCGTTGGTAGTTGGCGGCGGTGCTGCGCTCTGCCTGTTTCGCTTCTTTCTGTTCTTTTGCATTTGCTTGGCTCAGCTGGCTCTGGATAGCCTGCTTGCGATTTCACCCTTTATCCAATACGATAATATTCTTCCATCGGGGGTTCCTGGGCTTGTTTTGATCTTGGTAGGCGTGGAAAGGTATAGCCAACAGTTCGCGCGCCGGACATTACAAGACGACTCCAAGCAACACAGTCATCCACTCATCTGGATACTACTCCACACTTTCCATCCTGTTACACCCAGACCACGAGGCCCACATGCTGGCCTAGCCATACTGTTCGCTCGTTCATCCGTTGAGACATCTTGGGGAGGGACCAACAACAAGCGTGCCGAACCTAGGCCACGCGTTGTGCTATAAGGGAACAGCGAGTGCTCAAGATAGAACTTGGGGTCCGCATTTCCTAGTTCCTGAGCCTTATCAATCCTAGAAGCTATATACAGAACACCATGTTCCGGTCACCACTCTTCGCTTGGTCGCCACGACCAGACCAGGACCAGGACATCGAGGCTTCTCCGGCAACATCATCGCCATCTCGGTTTGGCGCCTTTCGCAGCAATGTGCGAACATTGGTCAACGGCTCGTCAGTCTATTCACAGTCGCCAGCTCTCACCAATACCAACAACCACAACGAGACAACACCAAAAGTACCATTTCGTGGATTCTGGAGCCGCCAGCAATCGCCCGATCCAAATGCACAGCATGTCTCAGATGATGAGCCCCGCGACTCACGTGACTCAAGGGCACCTCTTTCACATCATACCGCAGGCTCATATATTGGCGCCATTCAGGATCCTCAAGAGCCAGCAACAGTATACTCACGTCACCCAGCGGATGTACAATTACCATCTGACCACGATGGCCCTGTAGATCCAGCAATTCAGCAACCTGCAGACGAGGCCAATGGAAGGCGGCATAGGCGGCGCAAGCACCGGAGGAGAACGAATCGTGCGGATCGACGTGAACAGTGGGTGCGAAGAAGAGATGAGCGAGGGTCCAGTGGAATCTATGTCAGGGGATCAGCTGCGCGACGGAAGATGGTTGCTGTTGTGATATCCGGAACCTTTCTGATCGTCATTCTATCCATCTGTAAGTTTTATGACACTTTGTTTGACACACGTCGCACTAACCTTCGAGTGCAGATCTGGCATTGGCCCTAACCAACAAAGACCTCGGCCAAGAAATCCACATCCTCTTCATCATGGTGCTGCTCACCGTCACCATCTTCTTCTGTCACTCCCTCATCCGCCTCTGCATGCTCATACTGAATCCGCCGAGCGAAGAAAGACAATTCATCCCCAACATGCTCGGCTCCGAGGGCTTCCAACCCATCATCCCGATCCGCGTCCACCTCCGCCGCGACGAAGAAGCCGCGCTAGAAAACGACGCCCTAGAAAATGACATGGACATTGACGACCCAGAAAAAAACATGCCGCCCCCACCCCCACCCGCCTACGGCCTCTGGCGCAGCAGCGTCCGCGTAGATCCCAACCTCATCCACTGGCAGCGCGTCGACGCCCTCAGCGAGCGCGGAAGCGCAATGTCCTCGCAAATGCCATCGCGTGTGGGTTCCGTGACCGAGCAAATTCCTCCGCTACCCACTTCTTCGCGCGCGGCATCCGCGGTAGCAGAGGGTCCGCGACCCCCCTCGTACGTCTCCGAAGACGGAATCAGTTACGTGGTCGAGGCTGCGCCGCGGTCTACAGTCACCAACAATCGCGATAGTCACTCGGGATATAGTGAAATACATCCTGCGTGGCGGCCTGGCTACGCCATGAGTGAAATCAGAGGCGGCGAGCTGCCTGCGGTTGCGAATTTTAGTAGACCGTAAAGAAGTTTTGAAAGAAAAAAAATGTTTTATCTGTTCATTGCATTTGCACATCTTCTCTTGTTGTTGTCATTTGTTCGTTCTGCTTGTTCAAAAATAGCGAGTCCGGTGTCTACTTTTCTTCCATCTCGTCCCGCTTCAAAGGTATTCGCATCTTCATTTTCCAGCCTTGGATCAAGGAATAATTTGAGCGTTCTCGCTAGTCTTTTCACACTAGGCATTTGCATTTCCGTCTATCTTCATCTTTGCAAGCATAAGCATAGTTTATTATTATTGTTTTCTTTTTGGTATCAAACGTACAATACGGGCATGTACACATTCACACACACACACACACACATACTCGCACATTTACACAAGCATTACACGGTTTAGTCTAAGCAATCAGCATATGTAAAATGCGGAAAAAAAATATTAAGCGTTCAATTCTTCTCTTCAAAATACGTGTCCCTCTTACGTGCATCATCACGCTTCCTACTCTAATCCCCCTCCCCAACACCCAACCCAGCGCACTTCCCACACCCCGCGGATAAAAAAAACTCTATTCTAAGCAATCTCCCGCACAAAAAATGTCGTCATACATCCTCCTTTTTTTTTAAATCTCGTGTTACTACTTCCCTTCCGACACGTAATCTACCACCCCCGGTAGAAGATGATCGCAAGGCTTTTTTGTCGCGAAAGTGAGGCGGAAGAAGCGGGGGGAACGGCGTTGTTTCAAAACGCACGCGGTAGGTAGTATGCATATGTGAGCGAGGGGGGACCTTGTTCTTTTTTGCTGGAGGTGATGTAACGGGCGGTCTGGTGGGGGTGGGGGCTGGGAAACGGGCAGGGAAATGTTTGACTGAAGAAGAGAAAGAGGGTGAAAGTAGTGAGAAAAAAAAAGGATGGTATTTTGGGATGGAGAGGGATTGTTACGAGTTTTGTATATTTGCTTTTTTGGGGAAAAGGAAGAGGTGGAGGGAAGTGCAATTTCGTATCTCACTTTTTTTAGTGCTATATAAGTACTATGGTGGTTCTCCAGTGTGTTGTCGTTAGTAAAATTATCGGCACCGCTATGTACCACGTTAAATCCATTCATCGCAAATCATGTCTGTTCCTCATCTCAAGTCTCGTTTGCAATCGTTCCTGAGCTCCAGCTACGTCGTACCCATCGTGTCATGTATCAGTATACCTCAAAACCGGTAATTGTACAACCCTCATGAACATCGTCATCAGTCATCATCGTCATCATCGTCATCAAATACTTCTATCGCTCTTGCGACCCTCGGCGCTGACCCTACTTGCACTCCTTGCTACACCAGGGTTCATTACGCTTCCCGATACAGCAGGAACCGCCGCACCACCAGCCGTCATAGGCATGGGATTGGCAGCCTGCGCGAGCGGCATGGTACTGGCACTGTGGACCAGGCCCGGTCCCTGCGCATTACCCAGCTCAGGGTCCACGCTGCCGTCTCTCTTCTCCCATTCGTCCTTGGTGTTCTCTTGATCGCTGCTGCCGTCGTCGTCTTGGCCCGGGTTAGCGACTTCGTACTCGAGAATCTTGATGAACTGGTAGAAAAGCAAGGCGAGAATGGCGCCGACGCCGGGGCCCACCCAGTAGATCCAGTGGTCTTCGTCGAAGACACCCGTTATCACGCAGGGGCCAAAAGAGCGCGCGGGGTTTAGGGAACCACCGGTGTAGTAGACGCCTACGAGCTCGCCGATGAACAACGCTAGACCTATTCCCACAGGCGCAATGAAGGTTGCTGTGTAGAAAAGTGTTAGTTGTTGTGGCTTAAAGTGGGAGAAGCACAACAATGAACATACCCTTGTGTTTCTCCTTTGCTAGCATAAAAATGGTAAAGACCAATTCTGCTGTCAACACGGCCTCAATCATTGTTCCCTGTGCCAAACTCGTTCCCTGACCCAAAGTCGTCCTAACGTTGAAGTTCGTCGGAAACAGCACACTGACCAAGTAACTTGCAAATATACTTCCGACCATTTGTGCCGCAAACAACAAGAAAGCTCGGATTGGGCTCAGTGCGCGACATAGCAGCATAGCAAACGTGACAGCCGGGTTGAACAAGCCACCGGAGATTCGGAAAAAGACCCAGACGTTGACCATAAGGGAGAACGCGAAAACGAGGGCAATGTACAAAAGAACAATGGGTGAGAAACCAGCGGCTTCACCTGTCGTAGTGTTGTCTTGGGGTGCAGCAGCAGATCTGATATTGGCGACTTGAGTGCCTGAAAAGGCAAAAAACAAAAACATCGTCGTACCGACGAATTCTCCCACAAAGGCCACAAAGTCTATCGTAAGAGAGTTAGTAAAAAGGATATTCGTTGTTTGCAACTGAACATTATGGAAGACTTACGGTTCTTTGCATTACTTCCCATCCAAATTATCCAAGGCAATCTCATTGCCACCTCTGCACTTGGTATCGGGGGTGGGGGTCCTCTACCCCCACGAGTACCCTGTGCACCAGAATATCGCCCATATGTATCCTGGTAGTATGGGTAGTACATCTCGTAGTTTGGCCTGCCAGAAATGTCTGCATAGGCAGGGTACGTGTTGGCATCCCAATTATTCCTAGGCATTACTCCATACCGTGCGCTTTGCTCAGGGAAGTTGTTGTAAGAAGTTGGAGGGCGTGTATGCTGTCTGTTGGTATGATATGGACTCGCTCGAGGTTCCTGGCCTTCTTCTGGGTATTCCTCTACAGAAGGTGCTGGGGGATTGGGGGGATTGAAAGGTACAGTCTGAGATGCCCTTCTAGGACGTGTGGGCGCGAGCGGGGGCACACTTGGCGGTTCGGCTTCTACGTGAGGGTCGAGACGCCCTGTATATGCTTGAACAGGAGTACGTAAAAACTCTTGCCTGGATTCACTTGATGGAGTGGGATTCAGCGGTGCAGGAGAATCCACTATCGATCTATCAGGGTTTTGCCCCGTATAGAAACGACGGAAGGTACTGCTCGATCGCGACATGAATCGGTTCGGCTTGTTGATGGGTTTGGGTGGAACTTGTAGATTTGTAGTATGTGCACAACCTCGGCGGACAAATTGATGAAGAAGTTGTGTTCAAAGATGCAAGATCCCTGTAAATACGTTGGAATTGGAACGTTGAACGGAACATATGGTCGTTCTTCCTGAGGGAACACCGAAGATCATATATGCTAATAGCCAAGGCAATGAGGGAGACCCTGTCAGTGACTTTTCACCGCCAAAATACGTCCGATACCGTCTCTTGAAAATCCCCTCGGTGATGACCCAGCCCCCCTCACCAGGTCTCATTCGTCGATGGAAGCAACAGGTGGGCACCAGATCCAGGGTTTCTATATCGAGTTCAAACCGATGATGCGAATGACGTTCTTGGCTGATCTTGAAACGGGAAGAATCCGAAGAAGCACTGTGGTAGCATGGGTAATGCTGTAAAAGGAGCATGCATTACCTGGTCGATCACGTGACAAACGCGGGATCAGATCTGCTGTAAGATAGCCAAGACGTTCGCAAGATTAGTCGGGTCGGGCAAATTGTGGTACCGAAAGATCTTTGCGAGGCATGGGTAGTTGCATGTGGCTGTAGTGCGAACCAGGGTCTTTACAGTTAGCAGTAACAACGTTCAAGTTCTGTGTAGGTGTAATGGAACACCCCTGTTGTACGAGTTCTCGGCAAGCCCGCCCTGTTTTTACATAGGCACAAAAGCAAAACTACCAGCATCTTGCCACCAGAGGCGCGCCGAGATGGGCCGATAATGACGAGCCCGTAGACGCGTGTACTTTCAGCCTTGAAAAGCTGCCATGATGGCTGAATGTTGAAAAATGGCGGACTATGTTGAAGCCGAAGAGCCGCTGGCGAAAAGCAGGGCATGCATCAGACTGAGATGCCGGTAGAAGTCTAGTGACTCAAGAATTTGGCGAGAATGAGCGAAGTATTCGTCGTCAATCGTTGAGCAAACACAGTATTGCAGCAAAACGACTAGCGGTCAAGTACGGAATGTGGATATTTGCTTTGTCAGGAAGCAAATCTAGGGGTCCCTGATAAGCTTATGTAGTGAAATGCCGGGGGGTTGATCTCTCTCCGCATGACGCACGCCCGCCAGCCACCAGCCATTATACCGATATGCTCGATCAAACTTGATTCCGATATCGCCGAGAGTGCAGAACGCGCAACAGAGACTTTGTAAGGACAGACCTGACCAGTAAGCATAGATTTTGTCGTCCATATAGTGAGCCGACGTCAGCCTCCAGTGGGCGTCCTTCCGTCCTGCCACATCATATACACGTTCGGAGGAAGACCCCGGCTTACGTATTAGACATTTACTGCCATTTTTTTTAAACTTGCAAAGAGAGGCAAAGCTGAGAATACAAATTGAAGACGACAAGCAAGGAAAGCTGACTGTGAAAGTAGAAGCTCGAAAAAAGGTGTTTATTTATTTCGTCATAGGGTCATCAAAACGCATGGGTTGTCTCAGCGAAATGTGCTTTGGTAACGTCGGATACGTATTTACTTCTGCTCGCCTTGGCCGGAAGCCTCGGCCTCCTTGATGACTTGGTCGCTATATCACGGTTAGTCTGGCTATACTTGTAGCCGAGAGTCATTGGTATCACTGACATGTGCTTGTCCAGCTCGTCCATGTGCTCCCTCTGCTGCCTGAGCTTCGCCTTGATTCCCAGAAGCCTGTGTACCGTCAGCAATATGTTCCAGGATATTTACACGTACCCTGTATATAATGCGATGCGCGCAAAATACTGTCCAGGGTACTGAGATGGGCGTACTTGGCTTTCTCTTCTTGACGAATGTAGAGCTCCTCGGCAGCAGCCTCACGCTTGGTGAAGGCGTCACTATCAATACAGTTAGTATGTACTCAATTGGTGATAATTGAGGCCGGGAGGTCTGCTTACCCGCCAACAGCTCCTGTAGGTCTCGATGAGCCAGAGCCGGTAGCTCCCTCAGTCAAGCGCAGAGCGGATGCGGAGAAGTAGCGGGGAGCGGCGATTGAGCGCGCGCTCTTGATGATGGATGTACGAAGCATTGTGTGGGAGTTGTACAAAGAGCAGGGGGTTGAGGGATTGGAAGGTTTTGGTGTGGTCTTATGCAATTGAGTGTTGAGGTGGAGTGATCACAACCGATGCCTAGGAGCTTTGACGTTGCGTCATTGGTCGACGGAGTCACGTGACGCGACCATGGGGGCTCAAGGCAGGCCAGATGCCTACTTGGACCCTGATGCAGTGCAAACTGGGCACGCCTGATGAGGCCGCAGTGAGGACTCAAAGTGACTGCTGGCTGCACATGGAATCGTGTTGCGGTATGGTTTTGACAGCATTCTAGTATTGCATTTTCTGCGCGAGTCCTGGATCTACAGCCAAAAACAAGTGGCATGGGGAGCGAGATGGGTGCGGCTGCATGCACAGCAACCACACGGGCATGGACTCAGCTCGACGGTCCAAAACAAGTAATGGACACACGGTTGGGCCACGGTAGTCATGGCGCTCAATGGGCTCTGGGAGCCCATGCATACCTCGTTGAGGCAACAAAGGGCGATGCCCAAGGCCTCGCAGCAAAGTCGAGTCCTTGTACTCAGTAGCTGTCATCCAAGGCGTGTCCGGTGGGGCAGCCAGCATCTGTATGTACATGTGTATGTACACACTACTACACACATAGTACATATGTACATCGATAGGCGCCTGGAATGCAGTCCGAGGGAGCCTCCAGCCTCACAGGTCCAAGGAGCACATACGGGCAGACGCTAGGCAGACAATGGCCCTTCTGGCGGTGACTGGCTGTGTTCGCCTGTCAAGAGGCAAAGGTCGCGCTTGTTCTGGGCCGTGTGAAACGACCAAGGACGGGCAGGCGTGATCGACGCCAAGCCCAGTCGGGTTCTCTCACCCTCCAAACTCCCCTCCTCTGATAACTCAACCCCAAGCCGCCCTTGACCACAACTCCTTCACCTCGTTTTCTTGTCCTCACCACTTCGCCGTCTTTTGTAACCCACGCTTCTGCAAACCTACCCCCTCTCCACATCTACTTTTCTCTTCGTAAGTCAGTCACCGCATTTCGTCACGCACCCCCCAAAAGCCGTGGACGGTTGCAATTTGCGCCCTTTGCCGCAACATCGACAACAACGACATCGCCACTCGTGCCCCCTATGACTCTCACTCGTCCAAACCGCCCGCTTCCACGCTCGCCATGGTCATTGTCGCGGCGGTGTGCTTCGGCGCTCTCTTCGGGGGGGGCCGTGAGTGAAAGCTTGAGCCGCCCCTCTTTGCGCCCACCGCTGTTAGGTGCAAAGGCTACGCAAGCAATTGCACGCAGCTCCACTTGCCGCATCCTCCGGACCCTTTACCACAGCAAACCAAGCACCCAACAGCGACAGCATCACGGCGATTTTCCCTTCATCACGGCAATAGCGCACACTGAGCGTCTTGCCGCTCAACAACTACGATAGCAGCCGATTGCGCTCTGTCCGCGCTCTACACTAGTCCACGTCAGCTAACAGTTGTGCACGCAGACTTCACAATGGGTTACGAAGACTCCGTATACCTGGCCAAGCTGGCCGAGCAGGCCGAGCGCTATGAGGGTAAGCATTCGTGCCACAAGCCCCAACTCCACGAACTGACAGGATGGCGCAGAGATGGTCGAGAACATGAAGGCCGTTGCCTCCGCGGACCAGGAACTCTCCGTCGAGGAGCGAAATCTCCTTTCCGTTGCCTACAAGAACGTCATCGGTGCTCGCCGCGCGTCCTGGAGAATCGTCACCTCCATCGAGCAGAAGGAGGAGTCCAAGGGCAACGAGGCCCAGGTTGGTCTTATCAAGGAGTACCGCCAGAAGATCGAGGCCGAGTTGGCCAAGATCTGCGAGGACATTCTCGAGTGCCTCGATGGCCACTTGATCCCCTCTGCTGAGAGCGGCGAGTCCAAGGTCTTCTACCACAAGATGTAAGGGGTTCGACATGTACCATGTTTGAGGGCATCTGCTAACCACATTGTGCTTTTACAGGAAGGGCGACTACCACCGCTACCTTGCCGAGTTCGCTGTTGGCGACAAGCGCAAGACCTCTGCCGACAAGTCACTTGAGGCTTACAAGGCCGCCACCGAGGTTGCCGCCTCCAGCCTGGCCCCTACCCACCCCATCCGCCTCGGACTTGCCCTCAACTTCTCCGTTTTCTACTACGAGATCCTCAACTCGCCCGACCAGGCTTGCCAATTGGCCAAGCAGGCTTTTGACGATGCCATTGCTGGTATGTACAGGATGCAAATTTCATAGACAAAAGCTAACGTCGGCACAGAGCTCGACACCCTGTCTGAGGAGAGCTACAAGGACTCTACCCTCATTATGCAGCTCCTCAGGGACAACCTGGTAGGCCTTTGACGTGGAACTTTGTTGTAATTCAAATGCTAATCAATTCTAGACCCTCTGGACATCGTCCGAGGCCGAGCCCTCTGGTGATGCCCCCGCCGCCGAGCCCGCTACCGATGCACCCAAGGCCGAGAGCAGCGAGGCTCCTGCTGAAGCCAAGGCATAAAGTCGAAAACATGATATCAGACGCAAAAACGGCAGGGGTTAATGGTACGGTGTATCATGGTAAGAGTCAATGATGTCCTAGTCATCATTTTCTGGCGGCATCAAGGGTATATCCTAGCGTGCTCCAGGCCGGGTGCGCTTTGTTAGACTCTGAATTTCCATCCTGTCCACACTTCATGCACTCAAGGCTCTTTCCATTGTCCTGTCCACTCCCACCAGTATGCGTCATATACGGTCACGTCTTGTATGTTCCTCAACGTTCATGGTTGCCCCGGTCTAAGACTTAGATGTTGACGTCAACGTTCATTTTTGGCATAGTCAGAGAGTGTAATAGATGCTCATTCTGGTTCTGCGATTCCCCACAAATCCCCTCAGAAGGCTTATAATTCAAGACTATTTGCTTCTTTTCAGAGACTGTTCACGGCCACATGACCAGGCATGACGTGATGTCTATTGCAAAGTGAAGTACTGACTTGTAGAACGATGTAATGATGTGGAATGAGATGGATAGAGGTTACTAGGCATGTGGGGTTAGGAATAGTGGGCGCTGAGTACTGAGGATGTGGCATGTTGCTTAGGCCGATTAATGCGTATCGACAAACAGGTGGATGAACAGGCCTGGCTGAGAGATGCGTCGAGTGGCAAGTGGGGGAACACAGCTACAAGCTCAAAGTCTGAATCGTGTATACGAAATTGGAATGCTCATATCTCTGAACAAGAAAAAACCACAGCCTTGGTTTGTATTTAGATGTACATAGTTCCCTACCCCACTTTCTTTTTCACATGCATATAGTTCCCCATCTACTCTACGCGTGCCAAAGCCTGGCCACAGCCTCGGTGATACCAACATCGTTAGTCTCGAAGGAGTAGAGGGCGATACCAAGAGTCACGGTTCCGATGCGGAGAGCCCACATGGAGAGGTTGCGAATGAGGGGTACTCGCTTCTTAGGGAAGTAGTCGATGATGGATGCCCTGGACACGTTAGAGGGCGATTGATTTCTGGTAGAACTAGATTTGAACATACTCAAAGCCAATGTGCGAGTGTATGACCAAGAGAGCGCATAGAATCGAGTCAGTAAGTGGGTTTAGCGATCCAGCAGCAAAGGGCGCAATGGTCAAGGGAATGAGACCGGCAGAGACGATCCTGTGCCACTGTCAGTTTGTGGTCCCACATCACATGATGCAAGAGTTGCAATCATCCTCTTGCAGCTTGTCAAGCATACCTCTCGAAACTCCAGTGGTAGCTGCCATGGGCATAGTCTGGCTCGGGTACAGGCACAGGATCGTTGGTGGTTCCGACAATCTTCTGGGGCAGTGGGGGCAGAATCTGGTTGCGCTGAGTGGCGTGGAAGGCGGCGACGCGTGTGGACTGGGGAATGGCTGAGCGCTGGAAAGCTGGGCGAAGTTGGTGGGCGAGCGGGCGGTTGGTGCTGGAGCTGGCCGTCGACAGCATGCGGTGCGCTGCTTGGGGCTTGGTGTAAGCTTGCCTGAGGAGGCCGGGGCGCATAAAGGAAGCCATTGCAGTGGTTAGAGAGGGGCAGCTGGCGGGGGACAGATGCAGTGGGAGTGGGAGGTCGCAAGACGATATCTCGGGACGGTCGAACAGATGTTGACGACAATGCCTCGGATGAGCGATGCTGACGTCCCTGCGGCGCTCATTGGCCAGCGGCGGGAATCGGGAAGTCCCGTGACAGCAGATTTCGAACGTCAATCAACCTCACCTAGGGCCAAGAAGTTGCAGCTTCGACGAATCTCAATCCCAACCCCCCATCACCGCCCCATCTCCATTCCTCCCCTGCACAGCGAGCAGACGCAATGGCTTCCCGGCGGCTCGCACTCAACCTGCAGCAGAGCATGCGCTCTCGCTCCGCCATCAACGCCGTCAAGTCATCGAGACAGTCGCCTTTGACACGAGGCCTGGCCACGCCCATTTCCTACGGCGCAAAGACCGAGTCGACCACGCTCAAGAATGGCTTCACGGTATGCCGCAAACGCTGCCAACTCGCAGGACTGCAATTGACCCCAGTGTGCAGATTGCTACCGAGCACTCCCCGTGGGCCCAGACCTCCACCGTCGGTGTGTGGATCGACGCAGGAAGTCGCGCAGAGACGGACAAGACCAATGGAACTGCACACTTCTTGGAGCATCTTGCTTTCAAGGTACGGATACGCGGATGCGCGGCAGGCCGCCAATGGCAGTGCGGGGCGACAGGACGCTGATGTAGAGACAAACAGGGCACCCAGAAGCGCACGCAGCAGCAATTGGAACTCGAGATTGAGAACATGGGCGGACATTTGAACGCCTACACCTCGGTACGTTGCGCCTGATGGAGGACGCATCTGGACGCCGCATATTGATGACGTGACAGCGCGAAAACACCGTCTACTACGCCAAGGCTTTCAACAACGATGTCCCCGCCGCCGTCGACATTCTCTCTGATATTCTCCAAAACTCCAAGCTCGAGCCCGCCGCCATTGAGCGCGAGCGTGATGTCATTCTCCGCGAACAGGAAGAGGTGGACAAGCAGCTCGAGGAGGTTGTTTTCGACCACCTCCACGCCACCGCTTTCCAGGGCCAGCCCCTTGGCCGCACCATCCTCGGACCCAAGGAGAACATCCAGAGCATCCAGCGCGCCGATCTCGAGAACTACATCAAGACCAACTACACTGCTGACCGCATGGTCCTTGTCGGTGCTGGCGGCATTCCCCATGAGCAGCTCGTCGACCTTGCCGAGAAGTACTTTGCCAGCCTGCCCTCCGAGCCCCAGGACTACTCTGCCAAGTCTCTTGCCGCTGAGCAGAAGCAGAAGCCCGACTTTGTTGGCTCCGAGGTTCGTCTCCGTGATGACACCATGGGTACCGCCAACATTGCCATTGCCGTTGAGGGTGTGAGCTGGAGCGACCCCGACTACTTCACTGCGCTCGTCACACAGGCTATTGTTGGCAACTGGGACCGCGCCATGGGTACCTCTGACTACCTTGGTAGCAAGCTCAGCAACTTTGTCTCCCAGCACGGTTTGGCCAACAGCTTCATGAGCTTCTCCACCAGCTACTCTGACACTGGGTATGTTGCTGAACGAGTATTTTTGGAGAATAATGCTAACACGTCATAGTCTCTGGGGTATCTACCTCAACAGCTCCAACCTGACCCAGCTTGACGACCTTGTCCACTTCACCCTCCGCGAGTGGACTCGCCTTTCCATGAACGTTAGCTCTGCCGAGGTTGAGCGCGCCAAGGCCCAGCTCAAGGCCTCTATCCTTCTTGCTCTTGACGGCACTACTGCCGTTGCCGAGGACATTGGTCGCCAGATTGTCACTACCGGCCGCCGGTTATCACCCGAGGAGGTTGAGCGCGTTGTTGGTCGCATTACAGAGAAGGACGTGATGCAATTTGCCCGCAACAGGCTATGGGACAAGGACATTGCCATTTCTGCCGTCGGACAGATTGAGGGTCTTTTGGACTACAACCGTATCAGGAACGACATGAGCAGGATGCTTTCATAAGCATGTGTGAGTAAGAGGAGAAAAGTAGGGGAAGTGTATGTGTGTGTCGGTGTAGAGTTATAGAGTTGGCAGCTGTGAGCGTTTTTCTCCGAACAGCATGCGAGACCTGTATTTTGTGTACACTTATGTCGAATTTGACAAAGAAGATTTTAATATTTGTGTCTTGTGAGTGATTGTGATTGTGGGTGACTTTGTATTATTGTTTTGGTGGCTACGTCAAGGGATGTGGATATGTTATGTTACATGGCAGCAGCTGAAGAGGGTAAGAAAGGGAGGCGTGTAGATGGTTGCTAGGCAGTGAATTAGATTGTTCATCTTGCTAGGCGATATGAATGTACGCAGTAGTGAGAGATGGAACTTGCACGTCAAAACTCAGTTTCCTCACTTTGAATCAGAAAAAGAAGAAGTTTGCCGTGTAAACTACGTCGTACATGACAAACAAGATACGAAGAATGTTCATCCATAGTCTGATTCTTAGGCCAGACATTATCTGCATGGTTACAACGTTGTACTCTCTCGCATCTTCTATGTCCCATCTTTCCCTTACTTATTCCCTTTTCTCTCTTTTCCTTTCCTCTATAGGCAAACACTACTTCGAGTGGTTCGTACTATCTACCCTCACACTAAGAAGATGTTATGTTGACTTGCTCAAGAAAGAGTGAGAGAGAAGTAATCATACTACATAAATATGTACGTAAGCATATTGTATTCATCACACCCGATATGGCCTGAACAGTTCATGTTTGTGATGTTAACTACGCAATATTCTTAGTTAGAAACTAGCAGTTACTTTCCTAGTACAGGAGCAGGGGGGAGGGAGTAGGTATTTCGTATTCATCTATCGATAACGTGTCCGGTTTTGCAAAGGAAAAGATATGGCGTTTCTTTCTCAGTGTGCATATGAAGACGTCGGTTGAAGATTCGTCGCTTGCAACTAAGTAAAGATATCTCTAGACGTAGTTTAAAACAAAACCACATCTTGTGCCCTCGACGATGCAAAACAAACGACAGTGCTATCTAGTTTGACCCCATTCATTCCCTTTCAGTAGTAGTTACTCGAGTTTATTTTCCATGCTTCTTAGGTATGGACAACCACCTCCCCCCCCCGGTCTCTATCCTTCCGACTTTATCTTCGTTTATCGTCAACTTCCCACATCCTTACTTCCCTCTCTCTCATAAATACACACATTATCGCTCTGACGATTCCATCACAAGCCGCACTACACGTCCGAAAGCAGCGTTAGTGGGGGGTAAAGAATAAGCGTAAGTAAGTGGTAACTAAGGGCGAGCTAAGGACGAAACTAATCCGGGTATCCGGCACAGACTGGTTGATGAGCTTGTCGATCGTTTTTGAGGGGGGCTTCTCACCCCATTTGTATGGGAAGGTTACGTGTATCCGAATGTGAGACATGGAAGGACTGTATTTGTATTATTTAGTTATTTATATTTCTTTGGTGGAGGGAGGGAGAAAAAGGGTAGATAAAGACTAGGATGCGGAAGGAAAAAAAGGAGACATGAGAGTACCTTAAAGCTACATACTCATCAATTGACGTCCTCATTACCCAAATGCGATACTGGATACCTTACCTTAAGCTTTTCCTTACCTCTCCTAAGCCCCGTGTAATATATACGTACTAGTCCTACCTACGTCTGTGTTACACCAAACAAACCCAACCTCCCATCCCACCCTTCTTCTTCTATAGTTGCATGCATGCGTAGCCCAAGCCCAAGCCTCAGTCCCTCATCCCCATCTCTGTCCCCCCTGGGAATAATCCCGTATCCCAAAGCTTATCCAAGCTTATCACCACCACCCCTTCTCTCTCTCTCTCTCTCTCTCTCTCTTCCTTATATTTCCTTCCCACCCCCCTGACATACACACACGCCCATCTCCCATAACCCTTCAATCACATACGAGAGCAGCTTCCGGACGGTCCCTAAAAACCCCTCCCCAAAGCAATGTATGGATCTGGTAATTGTGGGGCACGCATTTAGGAGAGGAATGGGGGGGGGGGAAGGTGATGGGTATGTTTGATTTACAAAGAGAAGAGAGAAAAAGAAAGAGAGAGAGAGAGAGAGAGAGAGAGAGAGAGAGAGAGAGAGAGAGAGAGAGAGAGAGAG